TGATAAGAACCCTTTTTTACACAAATATGTAAAAGCAGATTTATTCCATTTTCATTGATACTGAGCCAACATGTGCAAAGAAACGATGATGAGAAGCACAGTGCTTTAAATCCCTCTTTTGTTGCTAAGACTACAGTGGGAGGTCCATAGGTAGGATAATAGGCAATAAATTAATACATTTCATAGTGATAGACAATTGCCATATGTAATTTTTAGATGAGACTTTTAGCTATACAGTATAAAGTCTTTAATTCGAACCTCAAAGCTACGAACTTTCTACGCATGCACGTTTAATGTATAACGGACGGTATAAGCTAGGATAAAATTATCTAATTATCTATTTCGGTTAATGTTGCAGATTGTGTTGTTCCTTAATCTTCTAATTGGATCTGGCTTATTATTTTTTGCAGACTGTTAGAACAATTTTATAAAAAGTAAGTTTGAACTTTCGATTATGTCAAAAAGAGTTTCCAATTCTGGAGCTGCCAAAGAATCTACAAAGTGAAAGCATGTTTCGACGTCCATTAAACAAAAAGTGGATAAAGGCACGAAGAAAGTGGCAGAGAGGTAATTTGTTTCTCTAACCATTCTGAAATCTGTCTATGAATTTCACACTGCTCTGAGGGGGGGGGGGCGTCGCGACGCGCAATGAACTGGAAGTTGATCTGACAGCACTATCCTTATCTTGAGGGCAGATGTTTTTATTTTATTCGGCTTATAATTCCTTACTAAATGTAGTGTTTCATCTCGATGTACTCTGATATGATTTAAATCAATTTCCTCGTCATCATAAGTATCTCGAATACACATCAAATAGTTTTCTGGTTGCAATTTTCTAATTTCGACTATGCGTAATGTATGCTTTACGCATGCACGCGTTGAAAGAAATGTTTAATAAAGTAAACAAATAAACATTAAGCTTTTTTTTTTGTAAATTTTGATACCGTTAGATCATAATTGCTCTTTATTTCATAAATTACGGTTTCATATTTTTAATTGTATAATTTTTGCATGCTATCCTTACCAGATTTAAATTGATGATCTATAATCCGGAATCGACGAAGTCCCGACAAGTCCGGATTTAAGACTTTGTACTGTAGTATACACAGTTAATTTAAATATAAGTTTTTGCTTTTAGGAAGTATATGTATAATGGACGGTTTTCGAAAACTGAAATGACAGCTGTCTATGAGTTTTTCTCAATGGCTCTAAGTGCACATACACAATTGCAGAATACAGATGACAAAAAATCCACAAGCTTTGAGGAACATTTACCACACTACAGAATACAGATGACTGCTGTTGTTACCAGGCCAGTATTTAGATTTATGGTTCGGATTAACTATTAATTTTTCCGGTTTCTGCAGAAATTCTGATGAACTAAAATAAATTTGCAGAAATATTTGTGAATATTTTATCTAAACAGATAATGAATATAACTTCATTCTGTCTCTCCCAAAGTTATCCCAAGGCCAAGAGTGACACAAAATGTAATTTTGAATTAACCTGCAAATATTTATTATTAAAGTGAGTTTTAAGTTAATTTCTAATCATTCATGGTGAGTCACTTTTGAATACGTATTTATATATTTTATATATAATAAATATATAAATTAAATAAACAATTAGAGCTTAAAATACATAATTTTGTTTTGCTACTGTTCGCAGCTTTTATTTAACTCAGTTTTTTTACTATTAATTTTTTATAAAATAAAAGACAAAGCAGTTTATAAATTTAAAAATTAATTCAATTTTTAATATATAAAAATAAAATAATAATAAAAAAAGGTAAATTATTATTTTCCTAAACATCCTAATTTTAAAATCTCGAAGCACTATGGGACAGCAGCCAAAGATAATAATTTGAGTGCATATTCATCACAACAGGATTCCTTCTCTAATTCAACTTTCCATTTCCCTGACTAATTTGAAAAATTTCTCTGCCATATTCATCACAACATGATTCCTTCTGAAACTCAACTTTCCATTTCTTTGACTAAATTGAACAATTTCTTCACCCAAACATAAACCAGTTACTAAATTTAAGTATGAATAACTGAACACATTTATGTATTTACTGCAAACACAAATAAATAGATCATATTATGAGGTAAATAAATAAAAAGAATACATGTTTAAAATTTTAACTAAATCATTCAAAATATTAAGTAGAATTTTTAAAAAGAAATATCAAATTATGGGGAGAATTGTTCACTTTATAAAAGAAAAATACTATTCCTATAGTGTTTCAAAATAAAACTGAACAGCTGTCTTGAAAGAAGTGTATGGTTAATATCATTATCATAACGTACAAATTCAGCCTCATTGTTTCTGCTAAACAACACTTACTCTCAACTAAGAGATTCTAGTACTAAGGGCTCATTTTCAGAATGAATGGCAACCCATGTCTCCAGATTTAATACTCTGAGACTGATTATGATTTAACACCCTGTTACTTTCTACCTGAAGTCACACGTATACAGCCTACCCAACATAAATGACAATAAAAGATTCCGATGGCATATGTCGATGATGTCTACAAAAATGCTGCTTTACTCTGCCTATAACAACATCATACTTATTTTAGGCAATAATTGGTAATTCTGGTCATTATTTATTAGAATGCAGAACTTTATGTTACGTAATCAAGCACTACTTCGTGGGCATGAAGAGAACACTTAGTGGCCACACAGAACTTCTATTACAATGATTATCTTTACATTATGTTGCAAATAAAATGCTACCTGTTGGAATGATTTTGCAATTCAAATATATGTATATTATAGATTCCTCCTGATATTCCCTATAATTTTACTCATTTTTATACAGTTTGTGTCAACTTGAAAATTCTCTAAAATATGAGTTATTATTATTTTAAAACTAAGTGGAAGACTCTATTTTGATTTATTTTTCTGCATTTGAAATTTTAAAATTGTGTATTTATAACTTCACAAGCAGATTAATATTCTTTTGGTTAATACATGAGAGAGTTTCAAGTTTTTTTTCCCCTTCACAAATATGACATTATTCTTTTATAGAGTAATTAAATGGTCTTTATATTCCTTAACATAGAGATGAAAACCACGGAACATCTCTAGGAACATTCCTTGTGATAAACTGATCTTCAACTGTAAATCAGACACTTTGTCATCCAATGTCTAATTTCTGATCAGCTAAGTTATCTGCAACTAGCAGTATTTATGGTTTTTCGAGTATAAAGGTGCTTACTATAATCTGCCCTTCAAACTGATTGAGGAGAAGCATGCTTCAAGGAAAGCTTGAATGCTTTTTCTCCTATTCTTCAGACCGATATGGCTTTAAAATTATTATGCATGCTAGACAGGCATTTTAAAGAAAAATATGCTTTTCCATAACAATATACAGTAAAAACTCGACTATCAAAAAAATTCAGTGAATGCTGAACTCCAGATAAGTTGAAATTTCAGAAAGTTGAGTGTATAAAAAATGGAATTCACATTAGAAATGACAAGTGAATGAGAAAAACTTTTGCTATAAGTTTATGTTGGGAGTACAAGTACGTTCCTGCTGTCTATCAAAAATTAGGCATTTATTGTGAAAGAATGGCATGTTATATTTTATTTCAAAGTACTGTCTATTACTAAACACTACATTTTCCCACCTTTTTGGCAGTATATGAATACTACGTTGAAAGAAGGGTTCATCATTCAAGGCACAAATGAACTCAAATTTTGGTATCTTCATATGATGTGAAATGCTGCTCAGATGGGCCACGCGTCATCAATTGAAATATGATGGAGTAATATGTCTAGTGTATACAGTGGGAGAGGAAATGTTTAAGAATAAGTTTTGACTGTTGCTGTAACATGTGGATGAGCATTATAATGCAGTAAAATAATTTTGTCATGTCTGGAGTAGTAAGATGCATTTTTCTTTGAATGCTCGGCTCAGTCTTATCAGTTCAGTGTTCAGTACAGAGCTCCAGTAATGGTTTCATTCAGTTTGAGCAACTTGTAAACATGACACTAAGTTAATCCCACCACATACATGTTTTTCCACGAATATTCGGCTTGGCTGTCAATGTTGAAGCATGGCCCAACAGTTCTCGATTTCAGTTCATATGGAAACCAATTTCCTTGTTTTTGAATCATTCTCAATGATTTTAAAGAATGTGAAAATGTTTGTTGATTCACTTCTAATGACATGAATTTTCATCTAATAATGCTTTTAATTCCCTATCTTTGTACACTTTTATCCTTCCACTATGTTCTTTGTCTTCGACCTCATATTCACCATTCTTGCACTTTTGAAACCACTCATGACAACATCTGTCAAGGTAGCCACACCATGTGCTTCTACAAGCAATCGATGCCCATCAGCTGCAGATTTCTTCAAATTAAAGAAAATCAAAAGTTTTCACAAATGACGCTCATTGGGTTCAAAATTAGACATTTTGCATGAAAAAATAAGATGCTGATAAAATACTGCTAATATTTCAAGGTTATGTTATTAGCAGATTTCCAATCTTACAATATGATGTTTAACATCAGACAATTTTAACCATTAACTCTGAAAATACTCCATGCTGACCCAATAATTAATTATGGAAGAAAAAAATGGTCCTCATTTACAAAATTAAACTGGTTTAAAGAATTGATAGAATTAACATTAAATCAAAATGAACTTCTTACGACTATATTGTAATGTCATACTTATCTATTATTAGTGCTAAATCACAATATCTGGCAACTCTGCTTACTAGCATTACGGGATCTATAACAAGTTTACAAATCTCTCATTTACAAAATATTTTGAGGGAAATTTTTTGTCTAAAATTTAAAAATATTTCGGTTACTTGAATGTTCGATAGTCAGGATTTACTGTATTTCCATCAGCAAATCATTTCCATAAAGATCTGCATTCAAGTTTTTTCACTTTTACATCATTAGTTAATCTTTTAAGCTTCACACAAATTCCCTTATGGCTTATTCATTAGTTTTAGATCTTAAAAACACATAACATAAGTGCCTCAAAAAGCAGTTTATCTAAATAAATCTCTTTATATTTACAAGCAAGAAATACATATATATTTCAGAACAAGACATGTACATTTAACCCTATACATAATTTTAACACAGAAAAGCAACTAAAATATATATAAATGAAATTAACAAATATTTTTCTTCTATCATTTATATGGCATTCATAAATTGCACCCTAGATGGAAAATGTAAGAACTCTATAACAACATATTAAAATTTCAAAGTTAATACGATGCATTAAAATGGCACATTTTTCAAAGAAATATTTTTCAGTGCGACAGAAAAAAATTAAACCTACAGACAGCAGTAATTATTCCAACTGCAATTTAATTTTATGGAAGATTTGTTATTAAATGAAAAAAGAAAATTATAATACCAGGTTTGTCTTCTATATAAAAGTTCAGTCATGCTAACATAACCTAATTTTTCGAACTTATGAGCAAGTACAGGTAATGAGGAAGTCCAAGTTTTGTCAAAATGAATATCAACAATAACACTCTGGTCAAGATGTTAAGAAAACACCTTTACGAAGGGTTTGCAACTTAGACTATGTTACAGTAAAGTTATAAAAGTAGTACATGAAAATATCACAATTCAAGGCCCCAATCCAGTATTTTGCATCCATATCCAAAAAAGAAAAAGACTAGAAGGATGCAATAAATATAGCCTGCAGTTACATACCTGTCATTTTCAGAATGGGCTAGCAAATACTACTAAAGAATTTTTTAATCCAAAAAATACTAAATTTTAGTGCATTCCAATTAGTCAGTTTATACATTATATGATTATAACTAACTTTAAGAGCAATGATTTAGAAAACAGATGGGAATTATAATTTTTTGATAAAAATGAAGGCTTAAATTTATAAATTAGGCTTTTTCATTTTAAAATGCATCTTCCCTCTAACATTACCTTACTCTGAAAAATGATTACTAATTATTAAGCTAAAATGATTAATTATTAATTACTAAGCTAAAATGATTAATTATTCTTTTTGCATCTGCAATTCACATATCACAATATTTTTTTCTCTCCAGCATTTCAAATTATTTTGACTACTGTTCAAGTTAAATTATTTTTTTAAACTATTTTTAATTTTTCACAGAATTATAAGCATTTTAAATTAAAAAGTTATTCTAATATTTCAATTGCAGGAAACATTATAATCATCAAGACCAACAAATTAGGCTATGTCCAAAATATTCAAGTGTCAATGGCAGTATTGCACTAATAAATAACCTTAAAGTAATATTTATTTCAATACAAAATTTAGCAATAGAATCTTCAGTTTTGATTTTTTTCAAGAATATGCATTCGAGGGAAAAAACTATTCTTTCTTATATTATTAAACACAGAATACTGCATTTTGTTTAAATTATTTATGTATTTTTTTAATACTGGTCGCTCTATTTATTGCTTTATGTATCAAAATATATGTTTCGTGTACTGCTAGCTAAATATTATTCTCATGGAATAATAGCTTTGAAAAATGTTTCAAAAAATGTATTATTTTGCTGTAATTAACTTAACCCCTCTCCATTAGTTTTCAATTTAAATATGCATAATTTTACTACCTCAGTTATACAAATATGAAATTAAAGGAAAGCAGAATAATTTTTATTTCGTCTCTCTTTTAATGTGAATGGATTGTTTTTTCTTAATAAAAGCTTATATATATATATTTAAATAAGAGAAATTAAAATGAAATTTTAAAACTATCACATATGAGCCCTATTCAAAATTTTGTTGATCTGGCATATTATAAAATAATCATTAACTGCTTCCAAAAATCTGAACCACTGGAACATAACAGAGATTCTTTTTCTCTTACTGGCCTGCAAATTTCCCTGAAAGCATTACAGCACAAACTTTTGGAAATACAATCAGTTTTAAACAATTCTTTATAAAATAGTGAAAATACAAATTATCTGCATCAAAAAGTACAAAATCTTTTGCTATTAAATGGAATGCATTTTGTAATTTTATTTTCAATTTATATAAAAAAAAAATAATATAATTAGACTGTTAATAGTAGAGGAAAAGAACAGCTTAACAAACAGGTAGCATTCTTTGTTCAAATTAATATCTACAATATAACTTATATACATCTTAATTTCATTTTCCTCTACTATTAAAAGTGCCATTCTTGACAGATGCAACAAGGCTTTAGATGGACTACAGGTGCAGTGCAGCCTAATTTAGGCACACTTCAACCATAGTTAGTCAGTTTAGTCTATTTTGAAACATTCCTAGAATTTATACAGTGATTAATCGACCAGAACAAACAGGACAAGGATGAAAATTGTCCAACACTGGCTTTTCCACCAAATTAGTAGTTTCTATTTCTGTAAGAAGTTCCATTATCTTTTTAGCTGTAGCTTCAGGTTTCTTAGTTACTTCAACATCTGTTGATCCACTAGTGTAATCAACACTTGACTCTCTTTCATTCTGATTTTGACCATCAATTTGGTCAGGATCTAAACAGAAATATGGAAATGAAAATACATCACCTACCAAAATAAGCAAACAATAACTGAAGCAAAAATATACAAATAAAAAAAATTATGCTAGGGAACCACAATTAACATTATTTCATTTGACATTGTATGCTACATACAATTTCCAGAATATCACACATTTCAAATTCTAAACGTTTTATCGTTCTCGATTTATACAAATTATTGCATTCCAATGGTACTGGTGCAATCATATACATCATATTTCCTATGTATCTACTCCCCCAGCTTTTTAGTATCAGATTCTGAAATTATTAAAAATATTCACAGTATTTTCCCCTTCCTTAGTTCAGAGAAAAGCTCCTCTAAAGTTTAAAATGGGTTTGCCCCTGTATGGTTATTTTCATTTAACTAATAAAAATTATAATTATTATTAAAAAAAAAAAAAAAAAAAAACACCTCACACAAACTAGTTGTAAAGGTCATTCTGAAGCTTTTCCTTTTAACTGTTTAACTTTAGAACTGAAGCATCACAGTAAAGCAAACACAAACTAACATTCAATCTACATTTTTGTCAAGTCAGCTAACATTCATCATTTCTAATTATTTAAGGATGATTTAAGGCTAAGGAGTAGCAGAGACAACAATAAGAATGGGCAAAATTCAAATTACGGGGAAGTAGAAATGAGAATATCTTATTAGATATTGCAATATCAATTTTAGTATGTATTCTTGGAATGTAGGATTCTTTTAAAGAAATAATATTGTGATAGTTACATGTATTTTATACATGACTATAACCTGTATTTAATATATACCTGTAGTTTATACATGACTAGATTGAATGTCAGTTTTAATTTCTTATGTTCTTACGGCAACCGTGTCCTTCAGAAATTAAATTGTTTGCATAATTCACCCCCCCTCGATTTTCAAGCAATAAAATTAGAAACAAAGGGGGATTTGAAACAGAGTGAAAAAAATCTTTCCTTGAATATAAAAAAATTTTATGCACTAATTGTGCATTAAAAATGCGAAATTTCTGTAAATATTTTTATGCTTTTAGTTTTTTTTTCATTATGCAGTAGATGGCACCAAGGAAGATTTAGCAATGTAATGGCATTTTTTGATATCATGATACCAAATCGCTCCTGATTATTGGTTCTGTTATAAATCAGACATAAGACATAGCTGACCAAGTTTGTGAGATTGTTTGCTGTTTGCAAAACAATGGGATTCTAACATAGGAACATTTATAGTCTACGTCAGTAGTCTTGAACTGGCAGCCGTGAATGCATTTCTTGTAAATTAATTAGCATTATTATGACAAGAAATTGAAGAATATTTTAAGATTTTAATGATTTGGAGGCCACATTTATATTACTTTTAGCATGATTAAAAATTAATGTGTTTAAATGCTCCCAAAATAATCTATAAATGGAAGCTAATTAATTTAAACTCTAACCTAAATTTTTTCAAATATTTGAAGGCAGAGATCTGATTAATTTCTTCCATACTTGTCAAAAGATCCCCCCACAGCTTCAGTTACAAATTGCAACAAGAATAATCCTTTGTTTGGCGGTACCAGTGAACAAACAGTCTGGCTTTTCTCCAATTAAAAGCTAATAAATCTAGAAAAGAACTAGATTGACCGATAAGCATCTACAATTTGCGACAAAGATAGTTTCTAGTAATTAGTAATTTTTCTCTGAGTTACAAATTTTAGCAAAATAAAAATGCCATGAGGTGCTGTAACTGAAAACCATACTAAGAAAAAAAAAAAAAAAAAAAGAAGTTTATAATTATTTCCACATAAATATATATATTTTTTTCTGTATATGTCTAAGAAAATTTTAATGACAAAAAGAAAGAGAATAAGTTTTCATTATTTATTCTCAAGTTTTGCCCCATTTGGAGAGCTTTCACATAATCTGTTCACTTTTAGTTTAACATAAAAGTTGTATTTAGTGGTTTATTCAATATATTAGAATTATTTGAAATGTCAGTCTGAAAATTAAATGGTTAGCTGTCACTATTCTGGAATTACAAAGTGTAATTATCATAAATTTCTTGCAGACACAAACTTCAAAATTTAATAAATTTTTTAAAGCACTTTTGAATGTGTGTGGGGATTTGGCCTGTCAGCTATTTCCATATTATGCATACAGCCTACATGCAATTTAAGACCACTAGGTCTACATTGTATTTTATAATGAAATTAAAGGAAACTACAACTTTTAACTCCCAATAACAATGAAATAAGTTTTAAAAAACCTAAGTAATAATGGCATAAGAATAACTGGTACATTTTAGTAATGATGATGAATTTCATGCAAAATGGGATAATTCGGAAAAAATTTAATTTACACTAGTATCAGTTTGTGGAATTCCAATCTTCCACAAAATATTGTATATTTATTATGTTTATCAAGTTATGTTCCAATGTTTATTAGTTAAACAGTAGTAAAACTGAAATTATAAACATTTAGGAATTTTTGTTTTGAAATAACTTTCAGAATTGGGACTATATGTTTCAAAATTGTTAATTACTCATAACATCTAAATTCCAGAATGCAAATGATTATGTATGAATTTTCTTTTCAAAGAAAATGTAAATACTTGATCTCAAATTCACCATACATTAGCATTGCCTATAATCATTTATATCATCATGAGTTTTATCTATCCAATTTATATAAACCAAACATCTACATATTGATTATTCAGTTTCAGGATAAATGATAAAAATAGATTTGAAATTTAAATTATAAATACTCACTCTGAATTTTCCTTTCCTCTAGCTCTGGTATCTGAATCAACTCTAAATTCTTGTCCAGTGGAGATGTCTGTGTTTGGAACTGTTTTCTTTCTTCCAACAGTTTCATCACAAGATTTTGCAGTTGTCCCAGTTTTGCCTAATCATATTTAAGAACAAGGGGTAAAATAGACGATTTTAAAACAGAGATAGTAATAAGTATAAACACAGAATGAAAATCATCTCGTTTTCAGCAAAATAATACTGAAAATTAATACATATGTATTAATACATCTATATACATTTATGTAATTTATTGTATGCATTATATATACACACACACAAACAAAAATACATTTGTGTAACAAGTGTTAAATAATGTAAAAAAAAGAATGATGTATACAATAATATTTCACAAGTTAATTATTAAAAAATGGAGATACTGTATTTGATAAATTTTAAAACACCTGAATCTTTAATAACTAGTTGATCCTAATATAAATGGTAATCTAAAGATGTCTAGATTATTCCTTCAATGCATCTACTTATAAATACACTTAAAAGCTATATAAAGAAGTTCTACAGTTAATTTCCAATTTCATCATAACAAGTTCAATGTACTCATTAGGTGCTACTTTTTAAAATACATGTTGAATAATATCAGTAAATGTTTTCCAGCATTTTGGGCATTTAAGTTCCTACATGTTTTAAGACAATACAGTCAAAAGTCGTTAATTTGGACACCCATAATCAGGAATGATCTATAATCCGGACCTCAAAGCTACAAACTTTCTGCGCATGTGTCAAACGGCTGTGCATAACATGTTTACACATGCCCGTTTAATGTATAATGGACGATTAAATTATCTAATTATCTATTTCAGTTAATGTTGCAGATTGCGTTGTTCCTTAATCTTCAAATTGGATCCGGCTTATTATTTTTTGCAGACTGTTAAAGCAATTTTATAAATGTAAGCTTGAACTTTTGATTTCTCAAATAGAATTTCTGATGCTGGAGCTCCCAAAGGATCTACAAAGCGAAAGTATGTTTCCATGTCCATCAAACAAAAAGTAGAATTGCTGCAAAAAATGGATAAAGGCATATCCTTTGTTTATCTAACTATTCCGAAATCTGTTTATCAATTTCACGCTGCTCTGCGGCTGTTATATATGTAACTGTAACTGTATCTATTATCTTTAATCATAACTGTAATATAGAATAGTAGATGAGTAATGTAGAATAAACGATATTTGTGTACATCTTGTAATCATCACTGAGCACGTACCCAACACACGTATAAAATACAACACATGGCGCAGCTTGTGTTGATTAAAAAAGAAAATCTTTTTTGAAGAACCATGCAGCCTCCGTAAAGATGTTCTAAACAAAAACATCATGGGAAGTTGTTTACTGTGAAATCGAAAAAGTGAGTTGTTTATTTTTATTGGAAGTGGCTAAAAATATGTATATATAAACTATTTAAAGTCCTAAATTAAATATGGATGGATTAAAGCCACCAAGTAATCTAAGTTTCGAAGGAAATTTAAGCGAAAATTGGAAGAAATGGAAAAAAAAATTCCAAATTTATATGTTAGCGTCTGGTGGTATTACTAAATCACCTGAAATTAAAGTAGCTATTTTATTGCATATAATTGGTGAAGAAGCACTTGAAAAATTTAATACTTTTAATTTAAGTGAAGAAGATAAGAAGGATGTTGGCAAAGTAATTGAAGCTCTCGAAAATTTTTGCATACCGAAAGCAAACAAAAGTGTTGATAGACATATATTTTTCTGTCGAACACAACATGTAGGTGAATGGTTTGATGATTTCTTAACCGATTTAAAGAATTAAGTAGCAACTGTGGATTTGCAGAATTAAAAGATAGTTTAATAAGGGATAGAATAGTAAGTGGAATTCTAAATAAAAAATCTCAAAGATAGATTATTAAGGGAAGATCAGTTAACATTGGAGAAATGTATTAAAATGTGTAAAGCTTCTGAATTAGCAGAACTTCAGCTGAAAAACTTTTAACTGAAGAAAATAAAATAGAAGCTATCAAACGTAATAAATTTCGACCTTCAGAGGAAAAAAGTCAGCCTTGTAAGAAAGACTATCATGTAAAACAAAGCAACAAAAGTACTAAATCTTCTTCAAAACTATCAAGGAAATAAGTACAATAATCCAAAACCATGTAGAAAATGTGGAACTTTTCATAAGTTATACAACTGTCCTGCTTATAATAAGATTTGCTTGTACTGTAAAAAGAAAAATCACTTTTCTAAAAATGTGCACTTATAAAAATGTTAATGTTGTACAGAATAATTTAGAGCATGAGTTACACATAATAATGGTAATGAATATGTTTTAGGGTCAGTAGAAGATATAAATCCATTTTCTAAAATAAAACCGAATGGTTTGGAAAACTAAAAGTAAACATATCTAAATATTTATTTGTTAAGTTGGATACTGGAGCTCAGTGTAATGTGGCTACCATTGCCTAAATTTAAACAATTAAATTTAAGAGAGAAATGTTTGACTAAATCAAAAGTCACTTTAAATAATTACAATGGTACTACAATTGATGTAGTTGGAAATGTAAATTATTCTGTGAAACATCGAAAGGGGACAAGGATGAAATAGAATTCAAGTTGTAGCATGTGATAAAACTGTTCCAGCTATTTTAGGTTTACCTACATTGCAAAAAATTAAACCTAATACAAAGGATTTGTACAGTAAATCCTGATTCTAATGAAAAGTTACCAGAACTTTTAAAAGGATATCAAGATTTGTTTAAAGGAACTGGGAATTTAACTGGATATACATATCATATTAAATTAAAACCAGGAGTTGTTGGTAAAATAGAACCCTGTAGGAAAATTCCACTTTAGCTTATTAAATCCATTAAAAAAGGAATTAGCAAGAATGGAAAAAGATGGTATTATAAAAAGTTAACTAACCAACAGAATTCGTGAATTCATTAGTGGTAAGTAACGGAAAAAGGATGGTAATTTAAGAGTGTGTTTAGATCCTCAGCACCTTAACCAAAATATACTGAGAGAACATTATCACATACCAACCTTTGAAGAAATTTCATCTCAAATAACAATGCAAAGGTCTTAGTATTTTAGATGCAAACAAAGCATTTTGGCAAATTAAACTGTCAGATTCAACTTGCGAATTTATACATTTAACACTCCGTTTGTTTGGTAGATATTGTTTTTTAAGGTTGCCATATGGATTGAGTTCATCACCAGAAGTTTTCCACAGAAGTAGTTTTCTGAAATTTTTAGTGATTTAGAAGGAGTTCAAATATATATAGATGACTTATTAGTTTGGGTAAGTAAAGATAAAAAGAACATGATTCAAGATTAAAGAAGTTGTTGGACAGAGCCAGAGAAAAGAATGTTAAATTTAATTTAAATAAATGTAAATTTGGGCTGAATGAAGTGAAATATATGGGACATATTTTCTAAAGATGGTTTTAAAACCAGATGAAGAAAAAATTAAGGCTATTCTAGATATAAAACCACCAAAAAATGTGAAAGAATTAGAAGCTTTCCTAGGAATGATTATATATGTTTCTAGATTTATACCTAATGTATCAGAATTGACATCATGTTTAAGAGATTGTTGAAAAAAAACAAGTTATCTGGAACTGGAATGCAACACATGAAAAAGCATTTAGAAGACTAAAAGATGTCTTGGTAAATAAACCAGTTTTACAGTATTATGACATAAACATGCCAGTAGTTTTATCTGTAGATGCATCTCAAGAAGGACTAGGAGCAGTCTTACTGCAGAATAATTTACCAGTGGCATATGCATCTAAGGCATTAACAGATACACAGAAGAATTATGCTCAAATTGAAAAGGAAACTTTAGCTATTGTATTTGCGTGTGAGAAATTTCATTAGTATATATTTGGAAAAAATATTACTGTGGAAAGTGATCATAAACCACTGGAATCAATTTTTAAAAAGCCATTAAATAAATGCCCTGTAAGACTACAAAGAATGCATATAAGATTACAGCCATATCAGTTTGAGATAAAATATAAAACAGGAAAAGAACTTTTTATAGCAGATGCATTATCAAGATCATTCACTGATGAAGGATCTGATTTCTTTGAAGGAGATACAGAAGCTCATGTGGGACTGGTTGTAGAATGTATACCAATGTCTAATGGTAAAATGGAAGTTTTTCAACTGGAAACAGAAAAAGATGAAGAACTACAAGTTTTAAGAAAATTAATTAAAACTGGATGACCAGATGAAAAATGTATGGTTCCAGAATTAGCAAAACCATATTTTAACTTCAGAGAAGAACTATCAGAAGCAAATGGATTAATATTTAAAAATTCCTGTGTTGTTGTACCAAGAAGTTTACGAAAAGATATGTTAAGCAGAATTCATTATGGTCATTTAGGAGTAGTAAAATGCAAGATCAAAGCAAGAGAAATATTATATTGGTCAGGAATGTCCAAGGAAATTGAAGATTTGGTACTGAATTGTCAAACATGTTTAAGTTTACAAAAAGCTAATACTTAAAGAACCAATGATATCTAAAGAAATACCTAATGGTCCATGGGAAGTATTGGGAACAGACCTCTTTTACTTTCAAGGAAGGGATTATCTAATAGTTATAGATTATTTTAGCAAATATGTTGAAATTGGACATTTGGAAGATTTGCCAAGTGTAGCAGTGATAAAGCAATTGAAATCAATTTTTGCAAGACATGGTATTCCGAAAATAGTATATTCGGATAATGGTCCACAATATAATTGCAGGAAATATATAAAGATTTTGCAAGAAGATGGAATTTTGAAACCAGAACTTCAAGTCCAAAATACCCACAGTCTAATGGAATGGTTGAAAGACATATTCAAACTTTCAAGCGAATGTTAGAAAAAGCTGTAGTTGACAACAAGGATCCATATTTAGTTTTACTGGAATATTGTAACTCTCCTATTTCAGATGAAATTAAGTCACCTTCAGAATTGATGTTTGGAAAAAAAGTAAATGGATTGATGCATATAAAAGAGAATTTTGTCCAAGCTAAACAATATGAAGACCATAAACAACATTTACTGAAGAGACAAACCTTACAAAAAGTTATTATGATAGGAATGCAAGACCATTAAAACCACTGAAAACAGGAGATCATGTTTACATAAAAGAGAAAGGGAAAAAACTAAATGAAAGAGTGAAAATTATAGAAGAAGCAGAAAGACCACGTTCATATAGGATTAAGAACAAATGAACAATGAAGAATTGTAGAAAGGACAGAAGAGACCTTCTTAAGGAACTAATCAGGAAGATTTTGCAATACAAAACAACTATGAGAATGAAGTTATAGATGAACCCGAGATACATGAAAATAGTAGGAGCACTACAAATTTAGATGTGCCTGTAAGTCCTTCAAAATCTAACAGAAGTGTTGTGTCACTAAATAGTGAAAGAGGTATAGTATCATCAAATTTTCAAATGGACATAACTATGTCACTCGATCTGGTAGGACTGTTAAGAAACCTTATTATTTAAAAGAATATGTTTAATTTTACTACTATTATTATTTTTTATAAAAAAGGGAGATGTTATATATGTAACTGTAACTGTATCTATTATCTTTAATCATAACTGTAATATAGAATAGTAGATGAGTAATGTAGAATAAATGATGTTTGTGTACATCTTGTAATCATCACTGAGCACGTACCCAACACATATAAAATACAACACAGCGGCAGGGGGGAGGGGAAACGCCGTGGCGCGCAATGAATTGGAAGTTGATCTGTCAGCACTATCCTTATCTTCAGGGCAGATGTTTTTATTTTATTTGGCTTATAATTCCTTACTAAATGTAGCATTTCATCTCGATATACTCCGTGTTTGATATGATTTAAATGAAATTCCTCGTCATTATAATTCGCTTCCGATAGTGAAGAAAGTGACAGAAAAGTCACTGAAAACGAGAAAATTTCGATTGACAAGTTAGTCGGAATGCTCCAACACAGCGGTTCCAAGGACTTGAAACGGAACTTTGTAACTGAAACAAGAGATTATGTCTGTCTATGGAATTAAAAAGAAAGTATTATCACAATAAAACAAAGCAACTTAAACAACATACATTGAACGAAATGTTTAATAAAGGTAAACAAATAAATATTAAGCTTCTTTTTTTGTAATTTTGATACCCTTTAGATCATAAATATTTCATGATTTCATAAATCCCAGATTTCATATTTTTAATTTTATAATTTTCTACATGCCATCTTACTAGATTTAAACTGATGATCTATAATCCGGAAAAATCGATAATTCGGAATCGCCAAAGTCCTGACGAGTCCGGATTAACGACTTTTGACTGTATATATATATATATAACTTATTTCACATTTTGTAAGATTTCCAGACAATATCTGCAATGATATTACAGTGATGCAATGGGAAGAGGAGCAATGCACTCCAAGAATATTTTTTGGGAGGAAGCATTTTTCATATGAAATATTATTTTAGAGAGCTTAGTCTCATGGATCACCAAGGCAGGTGAAGAATAATGAGATTCTGAAATATCATATGAAACTGAGAAGAAAAGTAATTTTTACACTATTATGTATTCAAAGAAATTGCTTTAAGTTTCAAAAGCAACATATTCTTGCTGTACTTTCTTTATTTCATCAAACCATTGCCAGGGGGAAAAAAAATATAGAAGAACATTCTTTCTGAACTTTTGCAGTTTACTCTAAAACACAACCTTTAGCACAAACTTGCAAATACTTGTTGTAAAGAAATATTTAAGACTAAATATATATTTTGTATTTAAGAAATCTTCCTAGACTGCCTACATAACAGCAAATGGAGCAAATAAGTAAACCTCTACAATGCCAACAATTCTGGTTATACCATTACAGCTGCCACCTGTTACTTCCTATGACTAAGACTTTCCTATCACTGGTGGTATCCAACTGAAATCCCATTAGCACATCAATCCTCAGTTACAATTAAAGGCATCATGATAGAAAATAGACTAACTATTTACAAAAGTCAGCTCATTTGTAAGTTAATTAAAATTACTTTCAAATGGTGCCTGCATTCTCCTAACTAACATGAAATTCTTAGCATATAATAAAAATAAAATCATTTATTTCTCTTATCCTTTTTAAATGGTCTGGATTATATTATTCTATAGTTTCAGCATAAAAAAAATGTAGACCTGTTAATATAGTATACCCTCTTCACAATAAGGAAAATTTAAAGATGCAAAAACAAATCCTTCCTGTAATTACTCTTGTGTTTTCTAATGAACTTTCTAAACTGCTTCTAAATTAATTTTTGAAGTATTGTATATTTTTTTGTAATGGTGAAGTATTGTATATTTTTTTGTAATGGTGAACAATCCCTCCCACTAAAAGTAGTCTAGAGTTCAATAAAATATGAGATGGTACTCATTAAATAAGAGGCTGAAGTGCTATTTATTTAAATAAACAATTTTACACATTAATTTTTACTTACTATTTATAAAGTACTTTAAGACTACATATATTGTTAGGTAAATACTAACCTTTAAATCCTCTCTATCTCTTGCGAGCTGAGCTATATATTCATCTTTTTCTGAAGCTCTCTTTCGCATTAGGCCTCTCTGTATCTGATACAAGGCAATATAATCACCTGCCCCCAAAAAGTTGAAAATAAGAATAATTTAATAATGTGTTAATCATGTTTAACATTTCATTTTCTGCGGAGAACAGCAATGTATAAAAGATTTAAATTCGGCAGACATAGTGAGAGAATTTAAGTTTACTACAGAACAATAATAGTAAATTATAATACTGTAAAATAATATCACAGAGCTATGTATAAATTATAAAAAAATAACATGGTTAAGAATATACAAGAGACATGAATTCAGACTTGGGCATTGAGCAGCAATGAATATACCACACATAAAAACAATACATAACTTTATTTTAAAAGAAAGTCAGAATTTGCTGTTTTTCACAGAAACATTCTATCATACCGATAAACTTTTTTTTTTTTTTTTTGTATGTGTATGGCATATGTCAAAGCAAGATTCGATGCACAATCAAATATTGCAATCTACTGTAAGTATAATAATATATCAAATACAACAATCTACTGAATATATATATATGTAAATATAGTTTTGTGAAAACAGCATAGCTCTTTGGGCATTTACTTGTTACTCAATACGATAACATTACTCAAAATTGTGAATCTTTATTTTATGTTAAAACATACTGCTCATATCTAACGAGTGATCAGTTTTGGCACACATTCCACTGTCTTCTAATTTTTTTACATGACTTCAAGACTTTTGTCAAAGTGTATTAAATACAGTCAAATATTGAAAATCCACGCAATCTCAAAATGAAAACATTTAGATCATTGGTTCAGGAAAGCAGAAGAGGAAAAATGAAATATAGAAGAAAAGAGAAACACTTACCAAATAATGATATCATAATGGAAATACTTAACAAATCATTGACATCATGGTAAAAGTCCCCTCCAATGCCATTTTATTGTTTTATCTGGATATTTTTTTGTAGATAAAATTAAAAATATTTTTAATTTTAGCACTCCTTAATACAATGGCAGGTAAGAAACGCATTCATGACTTTACTGGTTGCAACGTTAAAAATGTAAACATGTTGCACTGATGGGGCAAGGCAAAAAGTGCAAATTTTGCAAAAGATCGTGGGAATGGTTTATAGCAAAATCGTACTGAACTGCATCATGGGCTGTTTATTATATACTGAAAAATAAAGAAAAGCTGTTGAAATTTTACAGCAACAGTGATTCTAACACTGGAATCCAAAAACAGAAATCTTTGCATGAGGTGAAATCAGCAAACCTTGATACTACCTTGTACAAGTGGGTCCGCATCAGTGGCGTGATGGGATACCAATTTCAGAACTGCTCTTAAGAGAAAAGAGATTCATGTTGACTTAAAAATAGAGGAGACTTGCGATTTTCAGCAGCGATTGGTTGAACAGATTTAAACAGAGACACGGTATATGTTACGTGAAAGCTTATGGGAAAAAGCTTTCAGCAGATAAAGATACTGAAGAGCAACTTATTGTTCAATCTTCGGTGCTAGTGGAAGAAGAAAAGCTGAGACGAGAACAGAATTTTAATATGGACAAGAATGGAGTTCTTTAGCAAAGTTTGGTTAGAAAGACATTTGTAACAAGCGAAGAAAGTGCACAGTCAGGGGTGAAAGAAGATTAAGAAAGAGTTATTGTTTTAGTAAGCAGCAAATGCAGCTTACAAATGTAAACAAATGGTAGTGGGTAAGGGCACCAAACCCAGAGCTCTGAAAGGAGTAAAATCCCTATCTGTGATTTACAAGAATAATAAAATTTTCTACAAACATTTCTAGAATAGAAAACTGTTTAGAGAAGTCACATAAAGTACAGGTACCTCTTTATAACACAGTTTTGGTTTTACACAATAATAAAATTGCAGAACCACTTATAAAGTATGGCAACACAGTTTTATTTTAACATGTTAATGAATATGTGTAAATTCTCTTAATAACATTTTATATATGTACATATTATGAAAACATAATTTTTATTCTAAACATTTACAAAATTAAGTACTATACAATTGTGTACAATACAATTGCATACTATACAATTGTAGTACACAATAATAACCTATATATTTATATATGCAAAAATAAAATAAATTCCAGTAACAACTGCATTCTTCCACAATGAAATTCTTTTAAAATTGAGTTATGCCCAACATTTATATTTTTTTTATCTCGTGCTCCAAGTGTTAATTTGGCAGACTGCAAAAATTATGTAATTGTGATTTTGGTTTGTTTTATGTGATTACGGCAAAGACTCGAGGGCTATCTACCTAAGGAGACGGATGCCTTCGTGGAGGACTATCTAAGGGAAACTGGCTAATATACATGTTACAAACATGGAAAACCACAAAACGCGCATGCAGCCAACCTGTTTATAGGATTCAAACCTCAGACCGAACTACCAGTATTCAGCAACTTTATTCTTCCACTGGTGGGCCTAATTATGATTTTGGAAGAAAAAAAAAAAAAAAATTCCAAAGAAATTTTTGGATACATGTTATTAATTAGCTTTGTCATGTTTAGACGTAATTACTGAGAAATTATATTTCAGCTTTAAACTATGTCTGCAAGTAAGAAAACAACTTTTAAAAGAATAATTATTTCTCTGGAGATGAAAATACCAAATTTGGAATCATCTCTTAAAAAGAGAAAAGTCATCCAACACTGTAAAATGTCTAAATTTAAATGAGGAACCAATAAAAAATATTTTGTTTTCAAAAGTTTTTGAGAAAGCATTCCTCTATTTTGTATTGGTTGTTAGTCTCGTATAACATGGCACATAACCGAGTATTTTATAGAAACCTATCTACTATGTTATAGGAGAGATATTTTTATTAGAAATATTCATTAAAATTAGGGGTGAAAAACCATTCAAAATAATAAGTAAGTGAAATTGCGCCATTTCCAGAAACTCATGCAATTGGCGAAGATTTAAAATATTTAGCAGCCATTAAAACATTTATAATTTACAATGTGATAAAATTTTAAACTAACAATAAACATAGAAAATTGCCTAAAAAACACTGATTTATTTATTCTCCTTTTTAAAAGAAGGGAGAAGGTCAGGTAAGTTTTAATGCTAAAAATATCCAAGATGTTCCAACATGAAGCTACACTAAACAGTCTAGAATCCAGCTGAATAATGCACTTAATGAATGCATGTTAATGACACAAAACAACCCCCATTAGCTGGAATTGTCCCAGATTGAATATACTACTGCTCCTGACTCATAATATCCCAGCTTGAAATTTTGAATCCCTTAAATTTTCCATATCAGAATTAAATAAATATTTTGAAATTTTATATATTAAAACTATATTTTATTTTAAAAATAATTTTGTTTTACTACAACTAATTTCGAGTTTAAGCACATTTCAGAGTAGTTCTGAATTAAATAGAAATTTAATTAATTTTAAATTCACATTTTATTAAGATTTCATGCTTAAAACAGTATGTCATAGGCAAAAAATGGGCAACATTACTGTTAATAGAGAATCTAATAAGAAGTGAGGGGGAATCTTTACATATTTTGAGCAAAATTATGTCTATATCTATGTTTAGAAAGATATGAAAGATCAGCATATTCATCAGGTGATATTAATTCTTCAACTGAGAAAATACTTTAGGTTATTATAAATATTAAAAATTACAGAAAATTTAATTCCAAATTTGTAACACTGAAATATGTTATATAATTAAATACAGTTTGAATATTTTCTATTTCAAAATTTAAAAAAATTTGCAAAAATGTTATCCCTTCTCTTACACTAAATTTCCTTTGAATTTGACATTTTGATATTCAGTTTGATTAATTGAAATTCAAGTAATCAAAGTTTTATTGCATTAAAATAAAGGCTTCCCCTATGAATATAATAAATGCAAGTCACAGTAAACAAACAAAAAATCATGTTAGCTTTACATACCTATTGTCTCTGTTTCACCCTGTAATTGCGTTACTAAATGTTCAAGTTGCTGTCGTTCATCAGAAAGTTCTGCAATTTTATTCATCGTCTGTTTAAACCTTTCCTTTAAAAATAATGCAAAAATGACTAATTTAATTTACTAACAAAAATACAAATCCAGTTTTCTGCTTACTTCATTAAAAAATCAATTTTTTTTAAAAATTGTTTTGAAGCAAAATTACATCACCTTTCTTATAAAGATAATACCAATGGTAAATTAACCATTTTGTTATTCAATATAGTTCACTATATTTTCAGATGCTTTCAATTTCATTTCAGTGCTTAATATGTTACATTTCTGCTTGTTCTAGTTCATCATTTTGAACTTCAGGAATTTTTTTTTTAAACCTTATGACAGTAACATGTATTTAAATTAATCATGACCCACAGTGCACAGATCAATAATTACTAAAAAACATGAGTTTGAAAAGTTTCAAAATTAACTAGCAATGCTTCTATGTATAATGCATTGTACTTTTACTAGAAATACTAGTAATTAAAACTTTATACCCCCCCCCCCCCCCAAAAAAAATTGATGAGAAAATGGACAATTAAAGCAGTGCACTTATTCAGCTACTGGATGTACGTACATGGTGACTCAAAATAGTCTGTAAACATTTTGAAGGTAACTTCAGTACATATAAAAAGATCATACCCATACAGGAACACACAATGAAACCTCCATTAATAGAAACATTGCACTAATAGTCAATTCTTGGATTCTAAAAATAACAGACCAATATTCTCCCATTTAGCAGACACTCCCTGATAATGGACTAGAGACTTACAACTAACAGAAGTGAAACTGTCACTAATGGACACATTCCATTAATAGTCTATTTTAAAGGAAATTCAGCTGCTCAAAATACATAATGAAATATGTTCCTATTTAGCTGTCACTTCCTGATAACAGTCTACAGATTTGAACCCATTGCATGCTTACTAACACAAGTTCAACTTTATGTCCAAAAAGCCACATGAATCAGATGCTAAAAAGGTAATTTAGTATGTTTAAAATATTATTACTATTTCATGCACATTCATATCCTTTCCTGACCCATGCCACAAGATTAATATTAAATTTAACATGAAGCTCACAGATAAAGTCTTCAATGTAATCCCAGAAGAAAATCAATGGCATACATATTGGCTAAACAATGAGCCAGCCCTAAATGGCCCTAATTTAGCAATGAGCATGCTAAAAGTTTAATAACTCCCTCGGACTTAATTGTAACTGTGCAGGACTTCTATTGCACTAAACAAGTGCAAGAATATCCATACATATTTCTGAGAGACATATGAGCCATCAGTCCCACCAACACGATATGATGGAAGAATGTATGATCCATTCTCTAAACATGCTCATTCAAATATTGACGAACTGTTGCTGAGCATTATGAAGGGGATATATCTCATGGTTATCACACATAACTATAAACTTTAACAGCACTCTCACATGAGAAGAAGTGGCATCAATAAGGATAACTTATGCTGCAAAATCCAACACTGTGGCATATTGCCACAATTCCCAATATGCAAATTCCACCAGTAGGCTGATATCTCAAGCCTCCACTTTTTGTATAATTACTTACCACACTCAGTATTGAGAAATATGAACTAAATACAAAATAGTTTCCATACTTAAAATATCTACTGCATTTTTATTTGGCTCACAACTGATACTTCAGTGCTGGTGCACATCCTTCATTCTTTACCACAATCCTACAGGTTTCTCCAAAGGATTTACTTTTGAACATTATGTGCACAAATTGACCATGATACAACAAGCTTTGTTAAGAAACATCAACAATAAAATTTCACTACAGCTTCTCTATTTCGGTCTGCTGACCTTTAGTTGATGCATACCAACTATCTCCACATTAGCATAGCAATGCATCCTATTCATGGTTAACATGGTGAAAATAATTTACTACCAAACAGCACCTTCTAATTTCTCTAGCTATCACTTCTGAACACATATGTTCTCTCACATGAATAAAATTTCTTGGTGTATGTTGGAATTACCATAATAAATCTTAGAAACTATTCAGTAATTTCTAAAACTCAACAGCAAGTGAATAAGTAATTAAAGAATAACAGATTAAAGGAGGTCCAAATAATTAATAACCAGCTTTTATATTAGTAATTTAATGAATCTGCCTGAATTATTTCTGCATGAGAGAACACATATAAACTATAATTAACATGACATAATATGCATGTTGTATTTCATTACATACAGCATGGCTTTCAAAAGTGGCAACAATTTTTTTTTCTCTTAAGTTTTGTTTTGCTATTAAAAATACTACACATTTACCATTTCTTTTGAATGTTTAACCCTTTGTACTTGAGGCCTTTTTTGCTTGCGCGAAGCAGCAACTCGAGACGATTTCGGCCAAATTTGGCACACACTTTACAAGTACTTTAAAAACATTTATAAATAAAAATATACAAATAAGAAAAATTCAGTAGTTTATTCATTTATTTGTCGAAAATAACAAAATCTGATCAATATTACTCTGTAATTAATTTTGGTGTGATATTTTGTAAAACAATACGAATCCTAGGTTTGTCAGGACATGTATCACAGCAATACAAAATTTCCCACCTACCTCCAGGTATGTTACGGTCAGAACAAACCTGGCAGTCCCTTTTTTGGCACTTTTAGCATTACGTGAATCTTCCCATTTAGTCAGATTTCATCGGAATGCACTTGCTCTCATTGCTGGCGATATGATCCTCTCAATTGTTCAACAAGTGTTTTCAGAAATCGCAGATAGCTCAGCGGCTTTCTCCCTTGTTTGGTCTTTTCTAGTTTATACAAAATGTATGAATTGATCAGGGAAATTTCAATGTCCCCCAAAAAGCTTACGCCACCATTTAAGCAATTTTCGCAAAAGACAATAGGTTGACGCATATTGGTCCGCCCAATATTTTATATAGTTCCACCCATATATTTTATATAGTTCAATACAATATTGGATTTCTTGACCATTATATCCACACTACCTCGTGTAATTCTTTTGAACTTGTCATTCCTGTGTCACCCCTCGTAGTCAAACAAGTGACAATCCTCTTATCTTTCTACCCTAAAAACTAAAGTGTTGCCCCGTCGATACGTGACTGTGGAGTTTCTCAAAAAATAGCATCGTAGTAGCATTGCTTGATTTCAAAATCAGTGGGGCACCACAACAGCGCCGCTCAAGTTGACACTTCAAATCAGCGCCACTCGAGTGCAAAGGGTTAATAACATACAGCAGCATCAAATATATGTGTATAGTGCACTGAAAATTTAAATTGCTTTTTCACTGCTTAAGTAAATAGAACAGCTAAAAGATATATCAATAAAGCTACATGCCAGAAAATGTAAAGTTACAGAATGTGAAATCAAATCATGAACTATTCTATTAGTGAAATATTTTTGACTAACATGAACATTAAGAGAGTTTTGAATATTCATGATTAATGTGGCTGTACGTATGTAGGGGCAGTTAACAATATACTAACAGAGCAACTTTCAGAAAATTTTATGCAATTTATCTATTACATGCCAAATAAGAAACAGAAATATTAAAAATATGAAGTTTCAATGAAAAAATTGCAATACTAAAATACAGTTTAATGGATAGACAAAAATTATACTTGCTTCTAACTGAGTCATTGCACTTTTCATTAGGTTATATTCTTCTTGGGATACCACATCTCCATTTGCTTCTGAACCTGACATAAAAAATAAATAAATAAATAAATAAAGGGGGGGGGGAGTTTTTGAATAAGAACTTAATGTGAACATAAAAAGGTTTAAACGTTGATAATTACAAATTCACCTTCACTTAATTGAATCTCTCTTTTCTTTAGCTGTTGTTCTAAGTTTGTTCGGTTGTTCTTCTGCTCTTCCAACTGTTTCATCATTTGATTTCTTTCCATTTCTAGCTGTCGAACAGAAGCAGATAACGAAGCAACCTACAGAATAAATTTTAAAATTTAGACCTTTTTCTCCCTAAAGGGATAATTTCGACACAATAATGGTTAAAAAGGTAATAAGGAATTAAAAGGTACCAAGCACCCAACATAGTACAAGACTACTTATAGCATAAAAAAAAAAAAAAAAAAAAAAAAAAAAAAAAAAAAAAAAGTTGAATCCTTCTTAGAATTTTTGGAAGCATACAAATTCTGAATGGTGGCTGGTGTTATATTACAGTATCCTTCATAAAAAGACTATTTCAATTTCTTAATAGATGCTAGAAGACAAAAACAAAATCTGACATTATTTTCCAACACAGATCACAAGGATTCAATGATGATAAACTGATGAAAAACCTTCTCGCATACTTTTTTTTTATCAAAATATGTTCAAAAATTGCTTATTTTTTATTATATATTTCAAATCTACATATATTTTAGAGTTAAAATATATAAAAATGTTTTGCAAAAGAGTTTTTTTTCTCAATATAAAATTAGATCATAAAAAAAAAGGTTACCAGAAAATTGAAAAATAATGATATAAAAGCAAAATTTTGAAAATTAATCTCGGTTAAATTATGATTTACTTTATGAAATACAAAGGTAAAATGTTTATGCTAATGAAACTATGCAAAATACTCACAAAACATTAATTAGAAATGAAGTTTAGTATGATAAATTTCAAAACAATCCTCAAGACCTTGTAATCTTTGCAAATTTTTTCGCCAGTTTAATTTTTTTTAGCAACAAAAAGGACACTGTCTCTTGTTCTTGATGGGACTGGGGGTATATGGCTAGAAAAATGTTAAGCAGTTAGTTTCACGGGATTGAGTGTTGAACTATACATCTGCCACAGTAAACACTGGAATTTCCATCTGAATGCTTAGCTCAATAATTTGCTAGGCAATGGGTTATCCTTTTTATAAAGGATATAAGCATTCCACAGTGACTGCCAAGGAAAAGAAATGATGCAGGAGCTTTCAGAATATTTTCCATATCAATTTTGCACCTCTGTCAAATGTCTTGAATAGAAAATGAATCTTCAGATTCATCACTATCCACAGATGAATTTGAGAAATTATCATCAGTTTCGTTATAACTATCTTCGATATTCTTGAAATTAGAGTCTGAGCTGCTATCAGTGTCAAACATATAGTCAGGAATGTGGGTTATATCACTTATGAAATGGTTCCTGCCAGCTAACTTTGAGCTTTCAAAAGAATGCACAAAATGGTGCAAAACATGCTTGTATATTTTGCAGAAATATGGACAATTAATGCTATCAGTTAACCCAGATCTGAATAAACAATTAAACATCATAGAAAAGCTGAAATGAACCCATGAATGGGAAAAGAGCAGGTTGCACAGTTAAATAGACGGGAAAATCGCGGGTTACGTAAATTTTGTTATGTCTATGCTGGCCATGGAAATTGTGGGATACGTAGCGAGAGGGTTAAGAAGGTTAAGGAAGATATTCAGCTTAAATTTTATATTTCTCAAACCACTATTGATATTTCCAAGTAGCATGCATTTCAATTTCATTTTTCTTCCACAATGATGTCTAATTAAATGACGTTTCATCACAAACATTATACAACATCATGATTTTAGATGCATTACCTCTCAAAGCCCCCAATCTGTCAATCCAAGGTAATAATATTAGTCTCTCTCGCAACCCAAATCAGACGGTATGCAAGTATGGACCATAGAAGCATTTACTAAATGCACATGCACTCATCATTTCTGGAACTATATCAAGATCACTCCTTTTGTCTTCCTCTTCAAATCATTTTTGAAAACTAGCTAAAACTAGATGTGCATTCAAACAGAGCTTTGAAAATGCAAACAAGATATTTATATAAAAAAAAGTAAATATTATATTATTTTGCTCCATAATCAGCGACACAAAACTGACTTTTGTAGGCCTGGTGTTTCAGTTATTTTGTACAACCCCAGTATCCACCATCCTTTTTATAAAGTAGCATACACATAAATAAAAAAGAAGCATTCACATACAAGAACCACTTACTAAATCATTCCGCTTAGTTGCATCTCTATCCTCCTTTGCGTTTTCATCACTCACTGTCACTTCAGCTTGAGTAGCTATTGCCATACGCAATTCAGAATTTTGGCTAACTAATGAATTGATCTGCTCCTATAAAAAAAATTTCTTTTAGTTACTTAAATCAACACCTGAGATATATATTTATTATTTATAAAGGAATAAAGATTTAAGTAGAACATAACTAAAAAAACAGAATTTGTATATTTTACACGTTTAGAATTTTTTAAATCTTCCCAATCTAATCTTAATTACACAACAAGCATAAACATTTAAAACTTATAAAATTTTAAATATATCATATCACATACTTTCTTGGGGGGGACAGGTACCTATAAAAATTAGCGCATTAACGTCTCTGAAATGGACAACATACTTGCGCTTGGTGCAATTCTTTCTGTAACATTTCTACAAGTTGCCCTTGAGCTTCATAATGCCGCATTCTGTCAGCTATTTGATTCTGTTGATATATTCCTTTTGTATTTGATTTATGAAGATCTTGTAGCTCTGCTTCCCTTTGTGCAAGCTAAAAATAGAAAAGATATTAAATACATTGAAAATAAAATTATTTAGAACTATTGAAATAATTCTATATAATAATGTATGAATATTTAATATTTAATTTTTGACATATTTTTTGCATTATCGTAAAGATGGGCAAATTAAAAACTGTATTACCATGACATTAAATAAATAACAAAATACACTGCTCTTCAAGAGTTAAGGAACAGCATGTTTTTTGTCTCTAATTCGAGAATGAAGTAACATAAAAAGAAATTCACAGGACATGTTCACTAAACAGTTTTTAATTGAATGCGACATAGAATGTTTCAACACAAACATGAATTACAACAAAAAAATTGCATTCTTGGCAGAGAAATTCAGTATAGGAAAAACAGTATATCACAGTTTTTTAAAGGAAAAATGGGTTGCAACATTACAAAAATGGGTTCCAATAAGGAATTTGTCCACCCCTAGCTGCAATATATTGATGGCAGCGACGTTCCATGCTGTCAATTAAGTTGTCAGTCAGTGAAATGGAAAGCAAAAACCAGACACGGAGTAATCATTGTTTAAGCTCATCTAATAACCTTACAGGAGGACTTAAAGCAGCAACCTATCTTCCAAGGTAGTCCCAATGATGCTCTATCGGATTCAGGTCTGAAGACTGAGCTGACAATTCCATCTGCTCCATACCGTGAACCTTAACCCCTTAACTGCCGCGGGCGTATATATACGCCTTGCTCAGCCGATGCGTTAACTGCCCCCCAGCTGCGCACAGATGCGCCCAGATGCGCAGCCGATGCGTTAACTTTGCGAATAATTTTAGGTGTAGCAGCGCAAAGCAAATGATAGCAGTTTGGAAGGACGTATATATACGCCTGTGACAGTTAACGCATCGGCTGAGCAAGGCGTATATATACGCCCACGGCAGTTAAGGGGTTAAGATACTCTTCAGCAAACCGAGCTAGGTGTGGTCACACATTGCCATAAGAAATCCAGGACCAATAGCAGCAGCATATGGGCAGATAATATTGATCAACTATCTTGCCTTGACATCTCACACCAGTCCAGTTCCTCCAATGGAACACATGCAGGGTCAGTGTGACCACCGAGAGAAATCCCAACCCAAACCATTATTCCACCATCTCCATAACTGTGTCTTTCTACAATGTGGGATTGGTTGTATCTGGTGTGTTCCCTCCAGATCAGCTGACGACCTGAATCACTCTCCAGTGCGAACTTGGACTCATCTGTGAAGAGAACAGATGCCCATTGTTGACTAGTCCAACAGACTCTTGCCCAACATAAACAGGCACCTCTGCGACCTTGGGTCAAGGGGACACAAACAACTTGCATACAGACCTGTATTGTGCAGGCATTTGCACATTGCAGTAGCTGACTTTTGTTTCTGTTGCCACTAAATGATCTGCCATGCGCTGAGGCACAATAATGTTACTCTTCTTTCGGGCAAAAAGAGCTAAATAATGGTTACTCTAGGTCTCCTTGGAACATAGTCTTACAGACATATAATCCTTGGATCCAAACTGATTCCATAGTCGGTGGACTGCACTACGAGAGACACTGAGACATCTAGCAGCATCAGCTTGTGACATCCCCATTTCCATCCATCCGATCACCCGATACCTGAATGAAATGGGCAAACGACTTCTTCCGGACATTAATAGACTCTCCTGGATATTGTCCACAAAACTGTAATAACAACTGAAGATCAATACTTGTGAACAAAACTTACACTTTTTGCATTTTTTCTCTTCATTTCTATAAAATAATAGCAGTAGCTATTCTTTTGCATACATTTTCTTAAACTTTGGTACTGTCATGCATATGAACTGTGAATTTAAACGTTACTGACATTTTTGCAATGGTGAGCTTTGAAAAACATGTCGTTCCTTAACTTTTGAAGAGCAGTGTATTAAGTCAAAAAAAAAAAAAAAAAAAAAAAAAAAAAAAAAGCAGCTCTGTATAAATTACACACAGATATGACTCAACTTATGTTAGATATATTTTATTTCCATAGATAATGTAAAATGAAGAGCAAAAGTTGAACTAAGATTACAACGGGAACATACATAAGTACATTTAATGATTCTTTTCTAATACTTCAATATTCACCTTAAAATACTATTTGAAAAGTGTTAATTTCACAAAGTTTACACTGAAGTATAGTTTCTGAAATGTTTTATTTATGTTTTGCCCAGTAGAGTTACGACGACTCTGAGGCATCTTTTTCGTGTTTGGGCTGATAACCTTGCGACGCTTCTGAGGCATCTTATTCATGTTTGGGCCGATAACCTTGCAACGTCTCTGAGGCGTCTTATTCATGTTTGGTACGATAACCTTGCGATGCCTCTGAAGCGTCATTGTAAGCTAAGGGGTTAAACAGCTACCTCTGCTTTCTTTAGACTACTCTCGTATGTGAGAATTAAATAATAGTCTGAAAATATTATGCTCAATCACTATAGGTTTCAACCAATGCCCAATGATGAAATTATTTACATTAATTACTTGCAAAAGAACACAAAGCTGGCTTCTGCACAAGGGTTAGCAATGAAATGTGCAAATTTATGACTGCTAATAACTTGCACAATGGATATATATTGGAATTCTGGTCTGCAATGTTATTATAACTAATACAGCATGAGAGTGATCAGCATTCATTAATTATGACTCAAAGGCATCATTTGAGTGAAAATGAAAAGTGGCAGTTAGTTGGTAGACTTCCAGGGAGGATAAACACAAAATATAATTTGTTCAAGATCTGAATATCCTTCAAAGTTTCAGTTCAAGAATTTGCAACTATTATTCAGGCAATGAATAAATTAGCAGACAGCCAAGTCAACAGCAATAACTGCACCCAAAAGTTTTCTGTCATTGTTAACTTAAACCCTGAAATGATTTTATTTGGCTTTAAACCTTCAGAATGCCATAGGAACTCAAATCAGACAATATACTTCTGCATGAAGGCTTCATGGGGTTGCACTTAATGCTAGAAATCAATGGCCTGTACTTATCTTCTAAAGGCATCCACTTAAGATGGTACCAATGTCATGCTCAAGGAATCCAAGAAGAATGGCTCTCTGCACTCTTTTACAAGTCTAGAAATAATCACTGGAGTTATGATTTTAGATAAATTTCGATCTGAAGGGGGTGAAGAACATAATTTGCTTTCCTTAATTCACAACAGATTATGGAAGTTTAGAAACAAATCATCAAAAATGGCCAACTAAGCTGCATATCTTTGATGGAGGCTTTGTAACTAGCCACAGAACAAGGATGAGGTCTTGAAGCCCCATGTAAGACTGTTCAGGAATACTGCTGGTCCTGAATTTTTGGCTCAGGGATGATGTTCTTTCAGATTGAGCATGTCTGGTGTCAGAACATTGGGAAACGGAAGATATCATTAGAATGAGTAGTATGATTGAGCTTACTTTACCAGACTGGAATCTGATATTAAACTTAGGCTGCTGAGCAGCAGTGCACCATATACCTCCCCACAAACCCTTCAGGATTTGAACATAGTAATTTACATTAAATAATGTTTCTGTACTATTTTTTATCATTTTTCAATAAATAATAATTAGTTATATTTCTTCTAATATCATTTAATTTTGATGAGCAACGTAAAATAACCAAACTAGAAATGATTTTATTGTTTTCTTTCAACCTTTTGGATTCTTTGAAAAACAATTCAGTCAAAGTCATTGTTTCTGGAAAAAAAAAGAAAAAAAAAGTCTTACTTCATTCACTAATTTCGCCATACTTTTTGTTCATGATGCAATATAAGTATTGTGATTGTGCAAGCTTAGAATGTAAATAGCAGAATGCCACCTACAAAAGCATCCAGGTAAACAAAGAGTGATAAAGTTGCTCTTTTTTTCTGCTATTATTTCTTAATACAGTCAAAAGTCGTTAATTCGGACACCCATAATCCGGAATGATCTATAATCCGGACCTCAAAGCTACAACCTTTCTGCGCATGAGTAAACGTATAATGTGTTTACGCGCAATGTGCATATGCATTTATGCATGTGCATATGCATTTATGCATGTGCCTTTAATGTATAATGGACAGGTATAAGCTAAGCTAAAATTATCTAATTATTCTATTTCAGTTAATGTTGCAGATTGCGTTGTTCCTTAATCTTCGAATTGGATCCAGATTATTATTTTTTGCAGACTGTTAGAGCAATTTTATAAAAGTAAGCTTGAACTTTCGATTATGTCAAATAGAATTTTCGATATATATTTACTAATATGTAAAGGATATACAAAGCGAAAGTATCTTTCGGAGCCCATTACACAAAAAGTGGAATTGCTGCAAAAAATGGATAAAGGCATATATTTTGTTTATCTAAACTTTAACGCTTGTTTATCTAAACTTTAACGTTTGTTTATCTAAACTTTAACGTTTGTTTATCTAAACTTTGTTTATCTTTAACGCAGCGGTGGTGTGCAATGAATTCACTATCCTTATCTTAAGGGCAGATGTTTTTATTTTATTTGGCTTATAATTGCTTACTCAATGTAGTATTTCATCTCGATGTACTCCATCTTTGATATGATTTAAATCAAATGCCTCGTCATTATAATTCGCTTCCGATAGCGAAGAAAGTGACAGAGGTTATTGAAAATGAAAAAATTTCGATTGACAAATTAGTCGATATTCTCGACACAGCAATTATAGGACGTGAACAGCGGAACTTTGTAACTGAACAAGAAATTATGTCTGTTTATAGAATTAAAGAGAATGTATTATCACATAAAAAACGAATCAACTTAAACAACTTACATTGAAAGAAATGTTTAATAAAGTAAACAAATAAATATTAAGCTTTTTTTTGTAAATTTTGATACCCTTTAGATCATAATTGTTCTTTATTTCGTAAATTATGGTTTTATATTTTTAATGTTATAATTTCTGCATGCCATTTTACGATATTTAAACTGATGATCTATAATCCGGAAAAATCGATAATCCGGAATCGCCGAAGTCCCGACGAGTCTGGATTAACGACTTTTGACTGTACATGCTTATATCCTAAAAGCTCTTTCATATTGGCCCTTCAAGTTTTTTCAGATGCTTAAGGATATTGGAAGATTATTGCAAAGACCCTCAAGAAAGAAAGTGAAAAGTAAAACCTGGTTTAACAACCAGTTAAGAAAAAAGTTAAGAGCCCATTATAATCAAGCAAGACAAATTTTCTGGTGCCTAATCATCGGATTTCAAATTACTAGTAAGTTTAATCATACTTTTTAGCCTTGGGTGATAATATACTTACTTATTCGCTTTTCTGCTTACAGTTTATTCCATGTTTTTTTTATATATATTAATATTTTAGCATTATTTAACTTATGAGAATGTGCAACACTAACACAATAAAGCTTACTGGTTTTAGTAGGCCCTATAAAGTTTTTTCATTACATAAATCCCAATACTTAATGTATTACTTCATTGACAATCAAACTGTTACCAAGCAGTGTGATTTAGCATCAGTTATGGATAACTCACTCATTCATAACATCTACACTTTTGTTTGATGTAATCCTGATTGATTTTCAAAATGCAAAAGCAAAATAGAATAACAGCAGTTAATTTATATCCTTGTTCATAAAATAACAAAAGGTGGCTTATCGAAAATTATTTGGGGTTACATCAAATGAAAGTGCTGATGTAATAAGTTTGTTTTATATCACGCTTATCCACAACTGGTGCTAAACTGTGTCGCTTGGCAACAACTTCAAACTTGACGGGATAATACATAAGCACCAAAAGAATTTTTTTATAGTTCACTGCTGATGCACCCAAACCTATGTGACCTAGCACATGTACTTCAGGTGAAATATTTAGTGAATCATATTGAAATGTAGGGACTATCTACGTAGAGAAATTCAAGTAAAACTATGACATATTAATCATTAAAACTGTTGGCTGGCAGAAAAGCAAAGAAATTACGAAATGAAACAAACAATTTAAAAATATTTAAATTATTCTCACCTGCTCTTTTAATTCATGGAGTTCTTCTTCTTGTTGACTCAACCTTTCTCCCAGTTCTTTTGTGATATGCTGCTCAGAATGTAACTTCTCAGCAAGTTCCAATTTATCATTGCTCTAAATAATAATTTGAGCTTCAGTAAATACAACTTCAACACAGTTTAATAAAAACATAAATTCTTTTTTACTTCATTGCGTGATGCAATGCCAAAATAAATGGAATTCATGCCAAAAGATAAAACTATTTACCATGCTAACAAAGCCACTCTGCAATTCTTCAAGCTGCTTTTTAAGTTCTCGATTCTGAGCAACTGCACGGCTGGCAGCCACTTTATCACTCTGCATTGTTTCTACTAAACGACTTTTATCAACTTCATCTTCTTTTAACCGAGATATTACCTTTTCAAGCTCTAATATTTTCTTTTCTTGCTCTTGCAACAATGTAGCTGTTTTAGAGTTATTACATAGCTATAAAATTACCAGAAAGAAAAAATTAGAATTTAATTACAGGAACAAGAGAAAATTTGTTTAAATATTCATAGAAAGCAAAATACTATGAGAAACAAGTACATCCCACAACTGAAATTTTACACATATTACAGACTAATAGCAATTTTCAGCTAAACAATAATAACTTTAAATAATTTTCACATAAAACTGAGTACATAGTTGAGAACTAATGTAACACTCAATGTAATTATGATTAAGGTTATCAAACTGAAGTCCTGTCCATTATATGAAAACATGGAAAATACATTTTCTATTGGGATCAACAATTCAGTTAACATGACAAAAATATTATAAAATAAATATTTTAAACTAAAGTCGGCAAATATGCTCAAAATTAATTCTAAGAATTGCTAAGTGTTGCAAATAAGGGATAAATTCACCAAAGAGGTTATTTTTGTCAAACATTTCAAATTAAGCCCTTCCCCAAAAACTTAGTTTTTTAACCCCTTGTAAAAAACGTGCACCAAACTAAAATTGTTTTTTCGCCTAATTTAAACTTTGCACTGGTAAGTTCTCTTCTAATGAGGGATGCTCTCCTATCACGTTTACTCCTGTAATAGTCGCACCCTCGTTTTGAAGCAGAAAAAAATCCTCAAAAGTGTAGAATACTCTGTAGTACATTTCCCAGCATAATAATTGACCTAGACTTTCACAATGAAAAATTGGCAAAAAAAAAGTGCGACTATTAAGCGAGTAAATACAGTAGTTTTTAAATTAGAGGTACAGCATTACGGTTTCCAGAAACATTAGGAGCAGTTCATAAATAAGCTTTATCTAATTTAAAGGTCATAAAAGTATTTATTTATATGTTTCTAATCACATTCCAATGCTATCTGAAAGTATATTTTTCTCATCCCTTAGTGTTATCATTCAGTTAATGTTGTCAAAGTAACAGTGGATGAATATGATCACTAAGTACTATTGTACTTCAAAGATCTTTTATTTTCAAAAGACGTAATTGAGCACATATTTCTAACACTTACATACAGGATTTTAAGAGAAATACAGAACTGAACTCCCAATTGAAAATATCGAGAAATGGGTTGAACTTTTGAGGATATCTGAAAAGTCACTGAATAAATAATCACATTGATTATCATACTGCACAAATAACTGAAATGAAATTTTATGACTACAATGTAATTACAAGTAATCAGTAGAATTCCGATAATCCACACACTTCCAGACCAAGGTTAGGTTAGGTTACAAAAATAGGCAATGTAACAACCCTGTGTTCGGCACAGATATTTGTCAAGATGCTACCGATTTTGAAGGCAAACAGGCACCTCTTCATTAGTAGAAGAAACCTGTAATGAAGGGAAATCCATAGCAGTACTTACACCCAATTGAAAATATCGAGAAATGGGTTGAACTTTTGAGGATATCTGAAAAGTCACTGAATAAATAATCACATTGATTATCATACTGCACAAATAACTGAAATGAAATTTTATGACTACAATGTAATTACAAGTAATCAGTAGAATTCCGATAATCCACACACTTCCAGACCAAGGTTAGGTTAGGTTACAAAAATAGGCAATGTAACAACCCTGTGTTTGGCACAGATATTTGTCAAGATGCTATCAATTTTGAAGGCAAACAGGCACCTCTTCATTAGTAGAAGAAACCTGTAATGAAGGGAAATCCATAGCAGTACTTACACCCAAAAGGAATAAAACAAATGAGAAAGTACCATATGTCGGCAAAAATAATAACGAAAATTGAAAAATTAACAGAATTTTAAAGGCACTAGAAAGGACTCAACTAGAATTAAAATCATTAACTACATACGATAAATCTTTGTGAATGTGAAAAGCTTCAAGAAAATCCAATTCATGAATGGAAGAAGCTTTCTGGATAATTTTTACAGACCCAAAGTGAAAACTGCGATTAAATTTTTAGCTAGTTTAGTTATCAAAGACTTACAAATTTTGCCTTTTAGCACAAAACATTCATGTTTCTTGATATGAAACTTTAATAACTCTTTTAAGTTTGGCCAGTATATCTCAGATCACACTGAAAAGACATGCTATAAATTTCCCATGAATAAAGTCAGATATGGAATCTAAAGAGTCTAACCATGGATTTTATTGATATGCAAGAAAATGACTTGAAAACTGAATTTCTAGATAATCCAGACAATTTTGTAACTGACAGAAGGATGAATTGGAATGTCTTCTTTAAGACCAAAATGGATTTTTTTAAAGGTTTTATCAGTGACTGCAGCAGAAGATCCCAGGCCAATGCTAACTGATCTAAAATAAATGAGTTCATCAGCAAACAAAGATTCTGAAGAGCGAACTTTTGAGAGTGCAAAACATAGAATAGCTAAAGAATGTTATTTTTTGCTTAGCCGGGCGACATGAGAGCAGGGGAAGTCAAGCAAACAGAAAAAGGTTTATTGTAAACAATAGTGCTCAAATAAGATTAATTGCGGATTATATGAATATAAAGGAAAGGAAGGTTATTGACAGATTCATTTTGAAAAGTAAACTGGATGGCTAGATTAATCGAATTTTTAACAGATAAATTATCAGTTAAAGTAAAACAGCATTAAAGTTTTGTATCAAGGAACATGAATCTTATGTGCAAAAAGGAGAAATTTACAAGTTTTCAATAGATAATACCTGGAAATTTAACCACAATTTTGACTTAAGTTTACAAAAATCATCCAAGCAAAGCTTCCTCCATTGGTGAATTGGATTTTCTTCAAGTTTTTCACAAAGATTTATCTCATTCAGTTAATGATTTTAATTCCAATCCAGTCCTTATTAACAGTTAATAAATACTATTAACTTAATTGCCTAAGAGAAGGAACGCTTTTGTAGGTGACTTTCTGAGGAAAACTGGCCAATATTTATGTTATACATAGCGAAAACTGCAAAGATCAACCATGCAGCTAGCATTTGCCTGGGGTGAAAACCAAACCAGATTGAAATATCAGCAATCAGTGGTCTTACCCACTCGATCACAGCTGAGTTCCCTTTAGACTAAAGGCTGTGAAGGATTAATGAATTTTGAAGATCTATTGTTTATATCATTCTAATTTTCTTTTATAATTTTTTCATTTTCAATTTTTACATTAAATATGAAATACTTGAACAGAAATAACTGACTACAACACACTTATACCTTAAAAACTATTTAATCCCACTTTACTAAACACAAGACTATTAAATTTTGTTTATATAATTATGTACAAAGAAATGAATTTTGGTACAAAAGAAAAAACTGGTAGCCAAATAAAATAGGAAAAGATTCTGATGAAATTTTGTTTTGTGAAAAATGCAGAAAAATTTTACACAAAAAGGTTTGAAAACTCTAAAGTAATTTTGTTGACAGAATTACAGATTTTTTTTTATAATACAAAATTCTTCTTAGTTTTGAAATTACCCACACAAAATTACTTTCAGTAAATCTTAAACAGGTAAAAATAAATGCACAGTTTACAAAAATTCTAATATTAGAAGAAAATTTCTTTGTTCTTTATTTCCCTGTTACCACATTTTTATCCTAAGAGAAAGTACTGCATTTAAGAATGTATCCTTAATTTCCTATCACGTAAAACTATTTGCTCCTTGTCAAGGGAAAAAACGAGCTATGATGTACAAAAGGATGTCTATGTCAAAAACGTTGTGTTAAAAGAATTCTTGGCATATGTTAACTACACGAATTCAAAATTAATATTTAAAGACAAAAGATTAGCTTTATATGGGTGCAGAAAATGTGAAGTAATATCAATAAAAATACTAAATTTGCTTCATCAATCAAAATATAAGCACAATGCATTTTTATGAAAAGAGTTGTTTGCAAATACATGTAAGAACATTCAGTATTAAATTTGTCATGCAGAAATTTCTGAATTATGTTTAAAAATTAAGAATGGGTGTTATATAAAAGACAATATTATGAATTTTGTACATTTGCATTCTTTGTCCCACATATACAGAGATACACTCATATACTACACATGTTGCAGATTATAAGCTCTATAAAAATTTCTTCAAACGAAACATTCCATTTTAAATAACATTACTTGCTACTGTTTAAAATGTGATAGTGTTTTAATCATTTTAAATAATGCAACAGATAGGAAATCCTCCCTTAAGTCATAAATTCTATTTAAAAATATCTTTTACCCATAAAACAACAGAATGCAGTAATCAGTTAAAAACTAGTTAGTTAGCAGTAATCAGTTAAAAAACAAGTTAGTTAGCAGTAACCAGTTAAAAAAAGCTTTTCTGCAGCATTTCAAGATTAAAAATTAAAGAACAGAAAATCATTTCCAGTAAGCTCAATGATTATATTTCTATTCCAGAAATTCATACATTAAAAGGAATTACAGAAGTTCATTACAATAACACCACGGAGCAATCATTAAGTTTGTTCTACACAATTAATGCCAGTAACTCAATTCTTCATTAAAAAATATATACACATTCATAATAAAACTATACATTACCTCAGCTTCTAATTTTTTCCTAAGTTCCGAAGGATCTGCATTCAAAGCATCTAAAAGAAGAATCAAGCATTCTTACATTATACCACAGCACATTATTTTCATTTATTTTTTAATTATTTAAATATATACATGTAAGATAAACAGATTTTAATTGGCAATAACCCATTTTATTCTTCATGTTAATTTGGGTGTTTCCCATTCCTGTCCTAAAAATAATAACTGCTTATAATATATTAATCTATACTGCATCATTCCAAATTAATTCCTACCATACAGTCTTACATAACACTGCAATACATGTATGTTTTAACCAATCAGGAAATAAAATTTCAGTTGAAATCAAAACTTTTTTGGAGGGAACCAAAACCCTTAGAAACTCTCCCAGGCTTTCTTTGGAAAGTGTCGCACTTTTTTTGGCTCACTACTCTCTATCAATCATTGTATGTCTTAAGGTCTAATAAATTTCAAAAAAGTTTTGAAGATTGAGTGTAGATGGTACCTGCAGTGATGTATGAATCAAAATATACATCTCAATAATTTGTACAGAAATATACAGTCAAAAGTCGTTAATTCGGACACCCGTAATCCGGAATGATCTATAATCCGGACCTCAAAGCTAAAATCTTTCTGCGCATGCGCCGCATTGACGCATGCGCATAGGCGTTTTACTCGTGCGCGCAAGACATTTACGACTGCGCATATGCATCTGCGCAAGTGCAGAATACGTTTTTGCGTGTGCGTTTAATGTATAACGGACGGTAAAAGCTAAAATTATCTAATTATCTATTTCAGTTAATGTTGATAATTGCGTTGTTCCTTAATCTTCAAATTGGATCCGGCTTATTATTTTTTGCAGACTGTAAGAGCAATTTTCTAAAAGTAAGCTTGAACTTTCGATTATGTCAAATAGAATTTCCGATGCTGGAGCTCCCAAAGGATCTAGGAAACGAAAGTATGTTTCGATGTCCATCAAACAAAAAACGAATTGCTACAAAAAATGGATAAAAGCATATCCTTTGTTTATCTAACCCTTCCGAAATCTGTTTATCAATTTCACCCTGCTCTGCGCAGCGGGGGGGGGGGGGGGGGGGGGCGGCACGTTGCAGCGCGCAATGAACTGGAAGTTGATCTGTCAACACTATCCTTATCTTCAGGGCAGATGTTTTTATTTTAGTCGGCTTATTATTCTTTACTAAATGTAGTATTTAATTTCGATGTACTCCATCTTTGATATGATTTAAATCAAATTCCTCGTCATTATAAATATCACGAATACAAATCACATAGTTTTCTGGTTGCAATTTTCTAATTTCGGCTATGAGTAAGGTATGCTTTACGCATCCGTGCGTTAAAAGAAATGTTTAATAAAGTATACAAATAAATATTAGGCTTCTTTTTTGGTAAATTTGGATACTCTTTAGATCATAATTGCTCATTATTTTATAAATTACGGTTTCATATTTTTAATTTTATAATTTCCGCATGCCATCTTACCAGATTTAAACTGATGATCTATAATCCGGAAAAATCGATAATCCGGAATCGCCGAAGTCCCGACGAGTCCGGATTAAAGACTTTTGACTGTAATATGCTGAATCTAAGGCCACATTTTTCGGCAAGTTTCATCCTTTTTCAACACAATATGTATTCTATGTACCAACAACATCTACAACCATCAGTCATGATTAAAATTATTTATTCTTCTCTCACATTTTAAATTATTATGCACACACACATATATATTTAATAATAATACCCAGCTTACTATGAAATTATTTTTTAAACGAAGGAAAACTGTCTCATGTGCTTTACTATATTAAATTTTCTGTCAATTAAAAAATGTGCAATTTTCCTAAAATACCATTCTATAAATAAATATTAACACACAAATTGATATTAATAATCAATTTCAAGAGAAGCTTCACTAATAAATAAAAATAAAAATATTAGATTACAAGAATCGACCTAAGAGATAAAAGCTCTTGGGGGAAGTGTAAACAACAAACCTTTAGAATGCTGTTGAGTTTCTAATTTTTCCTGTAAGATATTCTTTTCTTTTGATAATGCATTCTTTTCATTAGATAGCTGCTTAATCTATAGAAAAAATAAAAACAGAAGTTAGTCTAAGTAATATGCAAGTAAAAGTAACATGAAATATGACCTACCTCAATGCTTCTTAGCAAAACGATACAAATCATGAAATATCATTCCATTAAACAAAATAAAAGAACTTAAAAAGTAGCATACATTTTCCATGGCTATTTATTTCTATAATATAAGAACTGAAATACAAAAGTGAAGTTAAAGTAAAAATATGCAATCTTACTTCATCACGTAAAGATGTCACTTGCTGACTGAGTTGTTGTATATACTGTTGATACTGTTCAGACATCTGATCTCTCTCATTGATAAGTTTATCGATTGATTCCTTATACTAAAAGAAAACATACATTTTCTTAGTTCCCGTGGAGGCAAAACATAAAGTGAATGGTATGCAATATCCATGAATTTTAAAAGGAATAATGAAAATTTTAAAAACAATTATTTTTTCTAATACCCATTTCTTTGAAACCATAATTCCCAACCCTACATTTTGAGATACTATACTTTTATCCTTTCCTTCCTCTTCTCTGGAGTATTAAAAAAATTCTACTTCTGACATTTGACTAATAATTTGAACGTTCTGTCATATAACTCCAAATATAAGATGCAATCAGAAAATTCGCTAGTAAACTTCGCTACCTTTGAATCCTAGACCACAAAGGCTTATTTGCAAATTTGTCAGGACTATAAAGGGAGGTTTCAGGGACTATTTGTTCTCAGCAGACCACAGTTTGATTGGTTGATTAATTGGTTAAGGCATAGAAATTGAGGACTATCTGTCTATAAAGAATTTCTTTAATAACAAAACATTAGACAACAAAGGTTCTCAAATAAAGACTTTTATTTACAGCATGTATTCTTCCAGTTGAGTCAAGAAAATACAGGGGTTGGACAAAAATATGGAAACACCTTTAAAAAAACATGTTTCTTTGCTTAATATGGTGTAGGAAACCCGTTGGCATCCAAAACAGCTTGTAGTCTTCTCGGAATGAATAAATACAGTTCCTGTATGTTTGCCAAGGGAATATTATACCATTCTTCCTGCAAAACGGTGGCAAGTTCAGATAATGATGTTGGTGGTGGATAACGAGAACGCACTTTCCGCTCCAATGTAGACCACAAAGATTCGATAATATTCAGGTCTGGTGACTGTGGTGGCCAGGGGAGATGGGACAACTCATCCTCGTGCTCAGAAAACCAGTCCTGAACAATGTGAGCTTTGTGAACAGGGGCTTTGTCGTCTTGGAAGACACCATCACAAAGTTTGTACCATGGGATGAAGTTGATCGGCCAAAATGTTCACATAAGTCTTGGCAGTCATGTGCCCTGACACAGTTATCATGGGGCTAGCAGAGAACCATGATATGGCTGCCCAAACCATAACAGAACCCTCGCCATGTTTCACTCTTGGCAAAAAGCAGTCTGTATTATAGGCTTGAGATGGCGTTCTCTAGATGTAAACTCGGCCAGAAGTGTGAAACAATGTTAAAGAAGACTCGTCAGACCATATTACTCGCTTCCACTGCTCTATAGTCCAGGCTTTATGACTTAAACACCACCTTTTCCTGTTACGGGCATTAGCATCACTGATGAGTGGCTTCTCAATTGCAGCACAGCCAGCAATTCCCTGTTTATGAAGATCCCTTCTAATTGTTTTGGTACTCACAGGGTTCGGTAACACAACATTCATTTCAACTTTTTTAACTGCTGAAACTTTTGCAGCTGTGGTCTTCTTATTTTTCGTCACAATTGCTCTTAATAATCGTCTGTCACGATCACTCAGGACACACTTTCGTCCGCGCTGTGATTTAGCAGATGATGTTTTTCGCTTTTCAAATATGCGGAATAAATCTTCGATACAGTACCTCTTGAAACACTAAACACCTTGGCTACCTTTCTTACGAAAGCACCTACCATATGTGCTCCAACAATTTGCCCACGTTCGAAGTCTGTTAACTCTGACATAATGCAATGACAACCTCACATAAGAGTACTCCGACAACAACTGAACTGTTTAGCACATTTACGAAGTTGTATAGATGGCGTCAGTAGTCAAATACGCCAGCGCTACCTACATATTTCATTAAAATCAATCTTTCTTTTCAAACATGCATTTCACAAGGTGTTTCCATATTTTTGTCCATCCACTGTATATATCTAATATATATTTAAAGAATATTCTTTTTAGAACAATAATAAACTGAAGTTAAATATTGTTGTCACTCGCAAATTGTATTAATAATATATTGTTTGTATTTATGTAAAGCTAACAAGCTTATATTAAAATAAATAAGTATTTAAAAAGCAAACAATAACATCCTCCCACCTTCTGATTATACATTATAATCAGTACATTGTACATTGTTTTTACATCGTGTTGAATACAAATGCACAATATGAGAGTCAACATACATTAAAAAATAAATAAATAAATAAATAAAAAAAATCAGAACAACGCATATGACAAGTAATCTTAAGTCTACCTTTTTACAAAGAAAAGTGCTTATGAAGAATTAAGGTTTTAAGATATCTTCAAAATTCCAAGTCCTAGTTAATAAAATTTAAAGCAACCAGTCCCCTTCCCTGGCCTGATAAATCATATACAGTCAAAAGTCGTTAATTCGGACACCCATAATCCGGAATGATCTATAATCTGGACCTCAAAGCTACACACTTTCTGCGATGCGCGTAAGACCTTTACGGCTGTGAATATGCACCTGCGCATGCACAAAATACATTTACGCATGCGCATTTAATGTATAACGGACAGTATAGCTAAGCTAAAATTATCTTATTCAGTTAATGTTGCAGATTGCGTTGTTCCTTAATCTTCAAATTGGATCTGGCTTATTATTTTTTGCAGACGGTAAGAACAATTTTATAAAAGTAAACTTGAACTTTCGATTATGTCAAATAGAATTTCCGATTCTGGAGCTCCCAAAGGATCATACAAAACGAAAGTATGTTTCGAAGTCCATTAAACAAAAAGTGGAATTGCTGCAAAACATGTATAAAGGCATGAAGAAAGTGACAGAGAGGTGATTTGTTTTTCTAACCATTCCGAAATCTGTTTATCAATTTCATGCTGCTCTGGAGGGAGGGGGGGGTCATGACTTTCCCACGTGTAATAAGTATGCGAGCCAGTTTCCCTTAGAAATGGAGGCATCCCCCCGCTCAGGCAGATAGCACTCGAATACTTTGTCATACCAACCAATTACCAGTATACTTTCAAGTTAATTAAAATTAATTTAATTTTACATAGATATCAACGTAATGAAGTTAATAACAAAAATTTATTCCTTTTTAAAATTCAAAGCTATTAAAATTTGAATAATCTTTATCATACTAGCTAGAATTTAAATAAATATTAGTATTCACACTTAAAAGATGGATGAGCAGCTGATTCTTGTACAGCTGTTCAGTGTTTCTTTGTATCCTCGTAAGCTTAAGTCTGATATTGGCACATACAATCAAGTCGACTCAGTACTCTAATAGACTTATGATAAGAACCCTTTTTTACACAAATATGTAAAAGCAGATTGAATTATTTTAAAGCTCAATAGTACATTTCATTATATTCCATTTTCATTTTCATTGATACTGAGCCCAGACCTGCAAAGAAACGATGATGAGAAGCACAGTGCTTTAAATCCCTCTTTTGTTGCTAAGACTACAGTGGGAGGTCCATAGGTAGGATAACAAGTAATAAATTAATACATTTCATAGTGATAGACAATTGCCATATGTAATTTTTAGGATGAGACTTTTAGCTATACAGTATAAAGTCTTTAATCCGAATGTCCATAATCCGGACCTCAAAGCTACAAACTTTCTGCGCATGGCGCATACGTTTACGCATGCGCATTTAATGTATAACGGACGGTATAAGCTAGGCTAAAATTATCTAATTATCTATTTTCAGTTAATGTTGCAGATTGCGTTGTTCCTTAATCTTCTAATTGGATCCGGCTTATTATTTTTTGCAGACTGTTAGAACAATTTTATAGAATGTAAGCTTGAACTTTCGATTATGTCAAAAAGAGTTTCCAATTGTGGAGCTGCAAAAGGATCTATTGGGTTGGAGGGAAAGTTCTGTCGTAATTTAAAGAAAATATTTGAATTCATTTATAAAAATATGTGTTTAATATTAATCAATTATATATGCTCCATTATTTGTTACAACCTGTTGCCATCTTCCAGGTAACCTGTAAATTCCTGTTTTGTAGAAGTTCTCATCCATGGAGTTAAAATAGTCAGCAACTGCCTTAGAAACACTTTCAAAAGACTTGAATTTTTTTCCCGTTAGATAATTTTGCAGAGATCTGAACAGGTAATAATCAGAGGTGCAATGTCTGAGCATTTCATTTCAGACTATTAAATGAGAATAACTATATTATTAACTTAAAAAAGTTATTTCTTTCCAAAACTAATCTCTCATAAAATATTAGTAATGGATAGAAACTAAGACTTTTTTTCAGAATGTTATTATTTGACATCTCTTAAGATCTTTATATTTATTATTAATAAATGAAACTAATATAATTTAATATATGTTTACATTATGGTTCTCACATATATGATTTCAACAAGCAATGTTTAGAATACTTTGAGTATAAATTTCCCAGAGGTAACTGCTGCAATCTATCACAGTTTTGTCAGCTATATTCAGCTCACAATATTGTGTCTATTAATACACTTTTTTTATGATAAGATACCATTGCTTCAAAAATAATCCACTTCTTGCTGTTCTGTAGCAGGCAGGTAAAAAATTTTAATCATTTCTTTCAAAATGCAAAGAAAAAATACAGCAATAACAGTTAATTCATATCTTAAATCTTGTTTATAAAAACATAAGGTGGCTTATCGAGAATCACACAAGGGGGGTGACTAAGGATTTCCCATCCTAACGCATTCAGTTTTTGTAGTGTCACCACTGCAGTATGCGGGCGAGCATTATCGTGATGGAACACCATTCCTTTTCTGGACGCTAATGCTGGCCTTTTTTCTTTGATAGCTGCATTCAATTTATCCAGCTGATTGCAGTACAGATCCGCGTTGATGTTTTTTCCCTGTTTCAGCAACTCGTAATACACTGGACCTTTCCTGTCCCACCACAAACAAAGCAGTACTTTTCGTCGATGGATACTTGGTTTTGGAACTGATGCTGATGATGTTCCTGGTTTGCAGTAAGATTTTTTTCTTTTAATATTCTTGTAAAGAATCCACTTTTCATCTCCAGTAACCAGCCTGTCCAAAAACGGCTCCACATTGTGTCTAATCAGATGTGATGAACATATTCTTACACGATCAGACAAATTATTTTCCGTTAATTCATGTGGAACCCAAACACTTTGCTTTAACACAAACCCAAGAGATTTAATGTGATCTCCAACAGTTGTATGATGAATGCCAAACTCTTCTGCAATTTCTCGACTTGTTAAATGTGGATTATTTTCCAACATGGATCGCAAAACATCATTATCGATCTTGGATGGTCGTCCAGATCGAACACTTTCTTTGAGGCTCAGGTCCCCGGAACGAAATTTGCTAAACCATCTTTGACAAGTACGAACATTTACAATATCTTTTCCAAATACCGCACATAAATTTTTACATGCAACAGATGCGTTACTTCCTTTTTGGAATTCATATAAAATGCATTGTGGTAAATGCACTTTATCTACCGAGACATGTTTTTCCCTTTAAATATTACAAGTAAATGATGAAGGGTAAAAAAGGGCACCTTTTATATTATACAGCAGCTAAAAAAACAAAAAAATCCGATTGGATTGACTCACTAGCCAGATGTTTTTTTTATTTACAAGAAAGTTCACCTGCCTATGACAGAACTTTCCCTCCAACCCGATACAAAGTGAAGGCATGTTTCAACGTCCATTAAACAAAAAGTGGAATTGTTGCAAAAAATGGATAAAGGTGATTTGTTTCTCTAACCATTCGGAAATCTGTTTATCAATTTCACACTGCTCTGCGGGAACGAAAAAATTTCGATTGACAAATTAGTCGGTATTCTCTATTCTCGACACAGCAATTATAGGACTTGAACAGTGGAACTTTGTAACTGAACAAGAAATTATGTCTGTTCACAGAATTAAAGAGAAAGTATTATCACATAAAACAAAACAACTTACATTGAAAGAAATGTTTAATAAAGTAAACAAATAAATATTAAGTTTTTTTTTTTTTTTTTTTTTTTTTTTTTTTTTTTTTTGTAAATTTTGATACCTTTTAGATCATAATTGTTCTTTATTTCATAAATTAAGGTTTCATATTTTTAATTTTAGAATTTCTGCATGCCATCTTACCAGATGCCATTTTACATGCATGCCTTACCAGATGCATGCCATTTTAACTGATGATCTATAATCCGGAATTGCCGAAGTCCCGACGAGTCCAGATTAACGACTTTTGACTGTATTAAGATGAACAGATGATTTTGCAAGGAATAATAATTTATACTTTCATATTTTAATATAAAAATTTAACTGAATTTTTTATTAAGGCTGAGCATTTCATTTCAGACTATTAAATGAGAATAACTATATTATTAACTTAAAAAAGTTATTTCTTTCCAAAACTAATCTCTCATAAAATATTAGTAATGGATAGAAACTAAGACTTTTTTTTCAGAATGTTATTATTTGACATCTCTTAAGATCTTTATATTTATTATTAATAAATGAAACTAATATAATTTAATATATGTTTACATTATGGTTCTCACATATATGATTTCAACAAGCAATGTTTAGAATACTTTGAGTATAAATTTCCCAGAGGTAACTGCTGCAATCTATCACAGTTTTGTCAGCTATATTCAGCTCACAATATTGTGTCTATTAATACACTTTTTTATGATAAGATACCATTGCTTCAAAAATAATCCACTTCTTGCTGTTCTGTAGCAGGCAGGTAAAAAATTTTAATCATTTCTTTCAAAATGCAAAGAAAAAATACAGCAATAACAGTTAATTCATATCTTAAATCTTGTTTATAAAAACATAAGGTGGCTTATCGAGAATCACACAAGGTTACATCAAACAAAAACGCAGATGTACTGTCATGTCACACATAATTATAACTGGTACTAAATCACTTTCCTTGGCAACAGTTTAAGGTCAACAAGATAAAACATGTGTATTAAATATATTATATATATATCACTAAGATCAGTTAATATAATTCTAAGTATATCACCATACTTTGTGCTCTCATTGGAAATAATTAATTGCATTGAGTTGATTAATTATTTTTTCTAATATTCAATATACAATAATGATAACCCTCATTTACCTTCTTATTTAGCAGAATTTATTTGAAAAAGATGGCAAGAAATAAAGGAAGGAAACTTATTCGAATCTTTGTAGAAACAAAAGTGAAAATTTCTGCTGGAATGCAGTGTTATTCCAAAATAAAAAGTAAGTCAAAATGTATTTATATTTATTTGTTTACTTTTTACTTCTTAACCCATTAGCCGCTGGTGTTGCTTTGATGCAACGATCAAAATAAATGGGTATATAAATAAATATAACTACCTAAGATATTTTATACCAGCAGATGATTTAGTGTAGGGAATATTATGAAGATTATTTCTGTAAAAAAATATTTGCCTTCAACAATCATTTTGTTTATAATAATTAATCTCATACTTTAAGCAAAATTTAAGCAAAATTTTCGACCGGGTATTTTTGCTGAAAATATTTAACGAAAGAATCACTGTCTTTATGAGTGATCTATTTTTAGTCAAGGTCACCGTTTATCAGAACATTATATCAGTCAGATGTTTATATTTGTGTTGGGAAGGAAGGGAAAATAGGTGTTGCGCTGACGCAACGTCAGCAGGAAATGGGTAGTCAATCTCCTTTTTCACTCATTTCTTTTGATGTTCTGGTTCATGTTCTGGTTATTTAAAAATGCCTAGAACGAGGTATCTTACATTAGAAGAAGCCCTTCAAAGATTTTTTGACAAGAAACATGATGATAATGTTAATAATGAAAAGAATGAAACTGATATTGTTGTTGTTCCCCCAGAAATTGCAGAAGCTAGTGACAAAGAAAAAAGGAATAGCAATGTTTTAAATAATGATAATGATATTTTACCAAATGAAATTCACATAAGAAGTAAGTTCCAGCCTTCTAAAAGCAGTTATAGTCATACTAAAAAGTTCAAAAACTGAAGACTGAAATCTTGAAGTGGATAAAAAAGGAACTATTAGTTATGTCTCAGGAAGAACATGAAGAAAGAGATAGAAGAGAAATTATAAAAGACAAAATACAAGGTAAAACTAGTGCGCAGATTTTCGACTTTCTTTTTGGTTTAGACATTTACTCTCTTCTGAGAGATTTATTGGAATATTATTGCTTACAGGATATCATTCTTTACCTCAAGAAAAAAATGTATTGGTGTTTTGATAAGGGCATTTCTGTTCCTGTTGTACGAGGATCGATATCACGTTTTCAGTACAGGAATATGAAGCAGAATTTGCATTTGACAATACTGATAAATTATATGAGGTGAGACCGTATCTAAACTTACTAAGTATCACCACTTTTTACTACTGGAAATATAAAGTCTCTTTTAGATTTCAGACAGGGGAATGCAATATTCCTTTTGCAAACTCCTATTGAGAGTGTAGAATTAGCCAGAAATAGATCAGCAACAGGAATACCTAATAAATTCAGCATTCAAAAACCTTTATTGTAAAGTCCGTTGATAACAAAAGACTTTGTTGTAAAGAGTATCACAGCCAGACTGTTTACAGATGCAAAGTATGTAATGTCGCTTTACATCATGATTGTAATCAAGTTTTTCATGCTTGAATCTTTTAGTTGAAATAATCTGTATTTGTAAAAGAAATACAATGTATATTTTAATATTAAATTAATTACAAGTAAAGTGACTTGTAGATTTATAAAACGTTATACAGCTATAAAGTAATCCTGCACTCCACTCAAAAGAAACATGACACGAGTACAATCCTACTCACTAAACATAGTCTTATTCCAATGATGTTGCGCGAACGCGACACTCGCTTTTTCCACCAGTAAGAGAATGCTTAATTTAATATTTGTTATTATTTTCATGAGAAAAGAAACATTCCTTGTAGTTTTCGAAGTTAATGGGTTAATGCACTTAACCTAGTAAACTCAGGCATGCCAAATGAAATTATTTTTTTTAATACAGTCAAAAGTCGTTAATCCTGACTCGTCGGGACTTCAGCGATTCCGGATTATTGATTTTTCCGGATTATAGATCATCAGTTTAAATCTCATAAGATGGCATGCAGAAATTCTAAAATTAAAAATATGAAACCGTAATTTATGAAATAAAGAACAATTATGATCTAAAGGGTATCAAAATTTACAAAAAAAAAAAAAAAAAAAAAAAAAAAGCTTAATATTTATTTGTTTACTTTATTAAACATTTCTTTCAATATAAGTTGTTTAAGTTGCTTCGTTTTATGTGATAATACTTTCTCTTTAATTCTCTTAATTCCATAACAGACATAATTTCTTGTTCAGTTACAAAGTTCCACTGTTCAAGTTCCGTAATTGTTGCTGCATTGAGAATACCGACTAACTTGTCAATCGAAATTTTTTCGTTTTCACTAACCTCTCTGTCACCTTCTTCATGTCTTTATCCATTTTTTGCAGCAATTCCACTTTTGTTTGATGGACATCGAAACATACTTTCATTTCTGTAGATCCTTTGGGAGCTCCAGCATCGGAAATTCTATTTGACATAATCGAAAGTTCAAGTTTACTTTTATAAAATTGCTCTTACAGTCTGCAAAAAATAATAAGCCGCATCCAATTCGAAGATTAAGGAACAACGCAATCATCAACATTAACTGAAATAGATAATTAGATAATTTTAGCTTATACCGTCCGTTATACATTAAACGTGCACGCGAAAACGTATTCTGCGCTTGCGCACACGCATGTGCGCAGTCGTAAAGGTCTTACGCGCATGCGTAAACGCCTATGCGCATGTGTTAACGCAGCGCATGCGCAGAGAGTTTTTAGCTTTGAGGTCCGGATTATGGGTGTCCGAATTAACGACTTTTGACTGTATGTATGCTTTGTTTGAAATTATTAAAAATTCTCTTCATTTACACTGTAAAGAATTACAAGCTGCACTTCCATACAGAAACTGCTGTTGAAACCAATATTGCATAATGTTAATAAATGAAGCAGTTATAAGCTACTTTGATACATCAAATGCGATAGTTATATATTACATTGATAGATCTAGGAATATATATATAAATTAAATATAATATTATAGTTAAATACTCACTAGTGAAATTCGTTTTTCTAGTTCAAATTTCTGTTGATAAACTTCTTCTAACTGGCTAGGATTTTCATTATTATTTTCTGAGAACTGTTGAGCTTGTACTTCTACTACAGATAATTTGTTCTGACATTCAGCAAGTTCTTTCTCTACCGTTTCCAGGTGAGCAATCTATATATAAATGAAATATACTTTTAAAATTAAATGGCTGAATGTACATGTTCATGCAGTTACATGCATTTAAATTTTTGAGGCTAATTTACTTGCATGTCAATATCTTAATGATAATTGATGGCAAAATTAACAATCGGTGTTTGGAAGCATAAAAACACGGCTAATGGTCGAAATATTTTTAATCCTAGCTTAAAAAAAATAATAATAATGACTTCAAAAGATGCATTTTTTTGCCTGCAGAGAGATTAAGGAAATTCAGCTTTTCAGAAACGTCCCTTAAATATGCCAGTTTTATTAAAAAATCGGCATCAGCAAAATCTTCTGTATCTTAGTATCTTTCCTCTTTAAGGAAAATAAATATTTCATGCCACAATTCAAAGGTACATGATAAAATATTACCATAAGAGAACCATACAATAAAGATGAGCGTTTGGCTCCTATATCCTCACACAGTTTTTTTTAATATAAAATCTTGCTTTTAATGAATAAGATATTATAAAATTTATCTTACTCACCACACATTATAACGCCTGATTTAGTTCAGAACTCAGATGCTTTGACGCAAGCGCTTCTATATGAATAATGCAAGAGATTCACAGTGACATTTGGTGATTTGCTTCGAATAAACGCCTGCAATCCTCAACAACTGCCAGACACGGAGCGAGCTCCATCGGTACAGACAGAAACATACTTAGGCCAATTAAAATTACTTTTAGATATGAATGTAACAAGAACCTGAAACATGTCTTTAGCCTTTGCTTCTGTAGTGATAGTTTTACAAAACAGGTTGTCTTTAATATTGTTACCATGTATATACCACCCAGAGCACATCAAAAGCAGCCTTATTATCATTTGTGGCCTTATCTAGTGGCAATCCAGATTTCCTCTTTTGAATTTTTTCAATTAATTCATCATTGATATCCTCTGCCATATGTTGTATTCTCCGACTAATTATGTTATTGAACAAAAGCACTTTTAAAAGCAGTTTCCCAACAGACTTACCAACCATAATGTTTACCATATCTACAGCAGCTGGTAGAGTAATTTCTGCGATGGCTTCTTAAATTTCAAAATTCTGGAAACCACCTTGGAACAACCATTGTTTGGTATAGACAAAATCTTAAATCTTGTTGTTTAAGTTCGTGACAAAAATAACATGAGGTCTGACAACAATGCTACGGTGATTAGCTTCTAAATTGCACTTCAATTTATGTGCATGCATATATTCCGCTGGCAAAATTTTCATACACAGTACACATTTAGATCCCTCTTCACCATTTGTTTCTGTTAACGTAAAATTAAACTCTAAATAACTATCATCATATTTATGATATTTTTGTTTCTTCATAGTCGTGCCACTGGTTGAAGTCATACTTTACCTGCACTATCACATTTACTACTATTAAAAAATAAATCCATCTTCAAAGATACAAGAGCAAAAATTCACAAAACTATTTTCCAAAGGAAACAAACAAGTAATATAACATTAACTACATATGAACTAATTTATATCACTGCTTATTTATATGAAAAGCTGAGTTTAATTTCACTAGACTTAGGTTATAAACCGATTGACTGAATCGAGTCGGCAATACTTAACTTATATGCTCTTTCTGCAAGACCTTTCAGAACAGTCTAGAACACAAGAAAGCCTCTACAGCCGACATGAAAAGGATATTTTATGCCTACTACCTAACTTTTATACAGGGTTAAATATAAACAAACAACACAAAGAAAATATACATATTTTTAGCTTTTCACTTTATTTTTTATTTAGTTAGACATATGTCTTGGCTCCATTATTTATGAAGCTTTTAGAATATTTCATGGAACCTCTTTGGAGAGGTCACAGCACACAGTTTGGGAACCACTGTGCTGAAGTGTTGATAGAAGAGGTTAATTGATCACCACCAATTTTCCATCACCATTTGAAGGAACATAGAATTGTGTCTAAGCGTGGATGTTGCTGCAAGGGACCTTTCATCCCAAAGTCTAGAACACCAAGAAAGCCTATACGCCGACATGAAAAGGGATCTTTTAGGCTACTACCTACTTTATAAGGGTTAAATATAAACAAACAACACAAAAGAAAATATTACATATTTTTTCAGATTTATTTTGGTATTTAGTTTATGTTTTTATTTTTATATGAAGATCAAATTTCATGGAACGAATAAGTCAATAAACTTAAAATTATAAAACATGTTGATAGCTTCTTAATTGATCAGTTTTTTCTCATTTTTAATTTAGATTCTCCCTTTTTACTGTGATAAAATTTTGAACTAGTACATTAATCAAGAAAAAAAAAAAAAATCTTAATTCTCTAGTCAAATGACTGGCAGTTCAAGCATAATGAGACAAATGAAGAGAATTCCATGAGCTTGAAAAACACCAAATCATTACCTTGCTTTGCCTTATGTAAGATATCCATCTTATTACTCTTTAAAAGCAATAGACTTAAAAACAGATTTAAATTTAAAAATGTGCTTAAACTTTATTAACCACTTTTCAAATCAGTATTAAACATATTCATCTGGTAATTATATTAATATTTAAAAGTACAAAGTTAGAACCTGAATTCTTTCAAATTTTGTATTCATTTTTTTACGTAAAGACAATTTCTTCATAATTGGCTTGAAAACGTATTATAGCACTAGAAAAACGCTCTTGATTCAGATGGGAAATACATAATTGATAAAACCAGTATTTTACTTATTTCTTCTTCCTAAAAAATTATTAACAGAATGAACAGATATAACGAAATATTTAAAAATTCTGCAGCTACTCACAGCTAAAAATTGACAGATTAATCTTTGGAAACATAACTATCACACTATAATATGACATTCGATTTCAAGTCAACAGCGATTTCAGATATACAATGCAACAAAATTATAACAAAAGTCTTCAGCCAGTTATTATTTTGAACACTGAATGTAACAAAAAGATCAATATTTTAAAACAGCTAAATAAGTAAATACAACTGTAAAATTATAAAACAGTAATAATTACCTTCTTGTTTAATTTCTCAGTTAATTCTGCATTTGCTAATTTCAGATCTTCACTTGATTTACTGTAGATATAAAATTTCCATAAATAAGAAAATTAATAATTATAGCATAATAAAAATGAATTCAGCTTAAAAACACAAATTTAACTTGCTTTATATATATCCATTTTTAATCTTTCAATATCTTTTAGTGCTTCTTTATTAACCTAAAAATCAGATAAACTTTTCTTAATTAAAAAAAAATCAACAGCAATAAATCAATTGTAAACGTATAGCAACTGTATATTAATTGTAAAGTTAGAATTATATAGACCAGGAAAAGCTTAAAAATCTGGGACAAATCTTTTTCAGTACAGTACTAATATAAATGTTTTGTAGCATTATAAAGAAAATTACAAGACTAATTATGTTTCAAAAGGTAGATTAAAACTGAAAAAAAAAAAAAAAAAAAAAAAAAAAAAAAAAAGCATATATGAAAATATGGATAATTAAAGGGGGGGAAATCAGTATTTGTGGATCTTTAAGGTAATTGCAATAAATTGCCTACAATGATAACCTTAATGGCCTCTAATACAGCAACACCAATTTTTGATTTACTTTCTTATATGCAATTCATTACATTGATCATCCCAGCTGTTCTTTAAAACTTATATTTCATCCATAAACAATGTCACCTATTTTCAGATTTGCCAGGGATTAAAAAAAAAATCTGTTCTTCAATGAAAATGCAATCTATCACATAGAATACAATAAGCTTTGTGATTTAACACACACTAAGCTTTATGAGAACAATCACGGGTACTTACTATTATAGTGTCGACCATGAAAGTCCCGAAGCAGCATCATTTAGCACCAATCATGGGTAAGTGTGACATAGCACACTTATAATACCTGTGCTTTTGTTTGATGTAACCCAAATTGATTCTCCGTACACTACCTTTTGTTTTCATCAACAAGGATATAAATTAACTATTACTCTTATATTTTCCCCTTGCATTTTGAAAGAAATTATCAGAATTTGGGACCCGACTTCTACAGAATAGCAAGCAGTAAAATATTTTCATAGTTATGGGTTTTTACCATCCAAAAAAGCTAGTATTAATGGGCAAGATGTGGTCAACAAAACTGGCAATAGAACATTTACTGGTGGGAAATTCGTACTCAAGGTGTCAAAGTAAAATCAGGAAGCATAACCAAATAGTAGAAATGAGCGAAAGCCTTTTACATAGTGCAAAAACAAAGCAGGTTGAATACTGTTTATTAAATAAAAAGGCATAAATTCTTTTAGAACTTCACAAGCGAGATTGCTGCAGCTTTGGTAGGATCTCTGCCAACTTCCATAATACGATTTCAACCAATTTCTTGGGTGGACAGGATAATATGCAAGTACCCAATTATGAATTGACACTTAACAATGAATTTACATAGTAAACATTACCAGTTAAACATTGATACAGGCAAACAATGGCTAAATAAGAAAAGCATCTGAGATGAAAACTACTTTCACATTTTTGGGTACATTATGTTTTGTCTATTGTTGGTTGAGAGAAATGACATTAATCAAGTGATGCCAGAAACAAATAAATATCTACAATAATACAACCATTGATTGGAATAACTTGATGAGAGATATTTGCGCAAAATATTCAGTCAACAATGCCAAAGGTTCAGTAATTAACAGTTTTGTCTACATAAATGAATCTTTTGGTACCTGATCTCATCTAAACAGTGGATATTTAAAAGTCACAAAACAAAAGCATGTTTTCTGGTTGAGTTCCTAAAGCTGTGTATCATACATGAAAATATTTGGGGGAAAAATCTCTTTTGTGAAACTTAATATTTGTCACATAATATAAAACAGCCAACCACAGCAAATCACCAAGGTTACCATGTTAGATACAATAGGTATAATAGCAGCACAGAGAGTTTTAATCTTGATAGTTGATTGGCTGAAAGAACTACCTATGTATTTTTGCAGAAAAGAGGGGGAAAAAATCCTCTTTCTTTCAGTGGTTAATCCAGTAAAAATTATTCAAAACAAGTTGGTGACCTGGAATAGAAGGATATATGATACCAGTTTAATGCAAACACTAAAATACTTTAATAAGTAATATTAAAAGATAAGCAGCATTCAATATTTAAAGTGCAATCTTGATCAATTATAAGAGAAAAAACTGCATCAATTGTAGATTTAGGATCATGAAAAATTTGTGTTTAGATTGACACTCTTTTGTTGAATGGACTACCCCAAAGATTCACAAGTAAAAAAAAATCTAACAGAATTCATTCAATCCAAACTGCTCAACTTTTATAAGCAAGATCTATTTTTCAATAAAAACAAAACATACTTTAAAAAATCTATTTTCTGAATTTACATGCACTTTACATACATAATTCCTTGCACTATGTAACTATGTAAAAATACTTGATGCATTTATTGCAATGAATGGATTCTTAAGACACTCTCCTCATAGCATTCTGCCCCATGGTGACAAGAGGGAATGCAGTTAAGAGAAGAGGGAGTTCATGAGGAGTGCAGTGATTGATAGCCAGTTATTCATGGTCATTTTTATTTCTCCATCTACATTTTGCTTCTCTATGCCATTAGCTAAAATCTCCTGTTTATGAATTCAGGTCTCAACTGCTTGCATTTGTCTGTGCTTACAGACGGCCAACCAAACCATGACTTTTCGGGAACATCTTCCTGCCTTTACTTGAGGCAGCATGCCTTGCCATATTCAAATAAACTAACTTAACAACACTTTTCTTGAACAATCTTACTTATTTTTATACCTTACTGTCCTTCATTAAATTGTCATCATACATTTGACATGTCTGGTGAAGAATATCCACAGCTTTCCAATTTCTAGCTATTAAATACCCGATGACTAGCCATATTTTACAGAGCTTCATTTCTTTAAACATTTTAATTACAAACTACAAAGTGCACATACTGATGCTAAGAAACAGGTAACATTAGACTGTGTACAAAAAATGCCGCCAGGAACATAGAATACACTCATTCACACGCATGAAATTTCAAACACTAATTCACTAACAGGTCACAACAAATAACCTTTGTATAAAGAAACTGGTTATATTTCCTCTTGAAGAACTAACACTTGCATATTGATACTTAGAAAATGTATACACTCTACAAGGGTGGAGCACTTAAAAATCTGGTTGATATGATTGAATTATTTATAAATTAGACATTTTGGCCATTCAGAAGATCAGATGGCTTGACCAAGGAATTTCGATAAAAGAAGATGCAGTGTTTTGTATAGCTGTCAGGATAAGCAGCATTGCTTTGGGGTAAGATTTGTAGTAACTAGGAAAATAAGAGAATCATAGACTTCAAACCTATAAATGAAAGAATTTGTAAAGTGCAGACTCAAGCTTGTCCTCAAAATTTTAATATTATCAGTGTACATACATCTACTGAAGACAAATACAATTTTATTAAGGATGGGTTTTATGATAAACTTGAAGCCTCCTATGAGAAATGCCACTCAAATTATATAAAACTATTACTGGTGACTTTAATGGAAATACTGGCTAGTGAAAACTCAGTGGGTGATCACAGTTTACATGAGGAAAGTAATAATTTTGCAAATGCAATATAGGAGGTACCTTCTTTGATTACACAACCACATACAAAGACACATGGCACTCCTCAGATGGAAAAATACTACATCAGACTGATAATTTCCTGGTGGATCTAAGACACAGAAAGTGCCTTTTGAATGTCTGCAGTTATTGTGGAGCCACTTTCTGGTGATTTCCAGGCTGAAAGGAAGGATAAGTAAGATCTTTTGGAATACGCAACAAAGGAATAAATCTTGGATGTTGACTCATTGTGCAAACTTGTGACTATGAAAGATTACAGAAATAAATTTAAAAAAATAAAAACCCTACTGAAATGTGATGATTTACAGAATGGTGACTTCTGGAAACAGATTGAAAAAATAATTAAGGATACTGCAGGGGAAGTTATACCAGAACTGAAAAGAGATATTAATAAATGCGAAACAAATTTTATGGCAGTAACTAATAGAGTTCATAATCCCCTTCCACTGCAGATAAATTCTTACACTTATGAGGGTGTTTCTCAGTTTACGTATCTCAGTACTATCATCTCTAATGGTAATATTAAACTTGAAATTAACAAAACATTACTTGGAGCTAATATATGCCATCATGGTTTAAAGAATTTGCTAGTGTCTAAATTATTAAACTTCAAGACAAAAATAGATCTTTATACAACTCTTATTAGACCAATCATATTATATGTTAGTGAATATTGGCTATTAAAAAAACAGATGAAGAAAGACTTATTTCAGTTATTATTTCAGTTTAACCTTTGAAAGAAAAATAGTGTGAAAAATATATGGCCCAGCTAGAAAAAATAATGGATGGAGAATTTCGTTTAACCATGAAATACATAGAAGATACAAACAACCTAATATAAGTCATTAAATCTTATTATATCAGATGGCCTGTACATATTTTTAGATGTCTTAAAAAAGTGACCTTTGCAAGTGTAAAGAAAGAGTATCATGAAAAGAGGAAGCCCTCAACCAAGATAGATAGACTGTGAGGAGGCAGATCTCAAGATCTTTTAAAAATCAATCATTGGCAGACTGTAGTGACTAATTGGATCCGCTGGAGAAAGCTTGTTGAGATGGCCCGGGATAGGCTGCAGTGCAATTGAAAAAGAACAGACATTTATTCCTTCAGAACATAAAAACTAACTAATGTCAGATATAATTAAAAAATCCAGAATCTACACCCTGCCTCCCAAATCGAATTATTAACATTATCCCCCCTTTTTTTTTACATCGCACTAAAAGATCTTAAATTCCAAAAACAAAATTAATTTTGATTAAATGAGACTACAGATAAATAATGGAAATAAACTAGTAAAAGGTGTAAAACTGCTTTTCTGATAATCATACAGGGTGATCAGCAAATAAGCTTTGATTTCAAAATTAAATATCTCTACAACAAAGATCGCTAGAATTATGCGGTAAACTGTATGTTTATTAGCAAAACTGTAAAAATGGTATACAGAAGTTTGGAAAATTTAGTTACGAAACTCGTTAACAGATGGTGCTCTGCACTGAAAACTCTTTCCATACTTGCCAACCTACGACACTCAAAAATCAGGACATTTCTCACAATGTTTAAAAGACTTTTTAAATGATAAAAATAGAGTTTTTAATAATGAATTAACTTTAAATAACTGCTAAAAAAAGAGACACTTTATCGTTTTGTACAAATATTATGAACAGTGGCAGATTTTGCTTCATTAAGAAAGAAACTCATAATTTTGTTCTAGCAATTGCCAATTAGGCCTGCTTTCGCTAATAAAAGTTTTCTAATGTGTCATCACTAACATAGATCTAATTTAACAGTGTTTTGCGTTTAATTGAAACTGCAAATTGCACTGCAATATTTATCAGTGGCAACATCAATATCATCATCTTTCATGACTAGATGAGTAACACAGGAAATCTGTCCAAAAAGTACCTTATATGAAAAAGATCATTTGCAGAGCAGAACATCAGCACTTTAGCATGCAAAATCACTTCATTGTTGATTGGAAATTTATGTAGTATGTAATCGCATACTCGACAGAAGCAACTTCTACATAAGATAAAACCTTGTCTTCTTCTGAAAGTTCTTTCACTTTTTGCATTCTTTAAAGCATTTCTTAAGACAGCCAGCATGTACATACATTTCAAAAAATTTCTCATTTCAGTATTATGCGCTGTTGGAACTATTTTAATTTTTCCTTCCTTTTAGAATTTTCAAGATAACAATAAATATCAACAATGTGTTCATCCACATTTATTGGTAAGAGCTGTCTCTTTTTCAGCTGCAATTAAGAGTGCAGATGCACCTCATAATTTGCAAATGTGAATTTTCCATTCTAAGATGCGTGCAACACCAGTCTTCAAGCCTACCATTACTGGTGCATTAGCACCAATGCTAAGCAATCATCCAGACGAGCTGCATTTTTTTTAAGTTTTAATAATTAGCTGTCTATATTAAAGCCTGTCGAATGTCCTGCTAAAGTGGGACAGAAAGTAAACTGCACTCAATTCTGAAGACTCTGGATTAAAAAGAAAACAATAGATACAGTTTTGAATCAGTCTATTGCTTCCATCCGTAGAGAGGCGAACGGAGCTGTTTTTATACAACCAATAAACTGAAGATTTCTTTTTCAACTCATTTCTTAACAACTCACCTGTTTTGATCCTTGCACTTGAGTATTCTTAGCGATTCACTATCAAAGAAACATTTTTCTAATAAAGCTGCAGCGTGATCCGATGCATTCATGGCAGGTGTAAAAAGGCAGAACAGAGTTCTGCTTAATATCTTTTTGGTCCTTTGTTTCCGAAGAAAAACTCATTTTGTGACAGACGGTAACAATCGCAAATTAATTTCCTTGGAATAATGAAGGAAAGTCAACTGTGTACGATTTTTGAATGTACACGAGTTTTCACCTTTCTCGCAGACCTAACAAAAGATAATAAATTCTAAAACTATTTCCCAAAGGCACGGGTACTCACCTACTCAGACAAGATGAACAAAATAACTAAAGAACATCCAAATAACAGCCTTGTGCTTGCTTTATGCTCATTGGCTAATATATGCCAGATGACATGCAGTGGAGCTCGGTGCACATTGGAGAACTGGAGAACGACGTTTCTAAAATTCAATTGCTTTCAGACATCCAAAATCACTTTTTTTTTTCGTTCATATAACGAAGTATTAAGCCAAGTTCCATAAAAATCGCGAGAAATTTTAAGAATAAGATAAAGTCGGGAGAAATATATTGAAAATCGTGTTGGCGGGAGAGCAGTCGAAAATCGGGAGTCTCCCGCCTAAATCGTGAGAGTTGGCATCTCTGTCTTTCCCTGATAGGAGTCTAAAAAAAATAAAGTAAAGCAGCCTTTGCAATCAAAATACAATTTTTTCAAAATGTTCACTGTTCGAAACAATGAGGTGGCATAAACGAACAATGAAATTTGACATCACGTCTTACAATGTCTCAACGGAAATGAAATCACATGCAACACCAATCAACGATTCAAGCTCATCTAGAGTAGCGGGATTGTTTCAATAGACGGTGTCTTTCAACACGCTCCACAGAAAGAAGTCACAAGGACTCAGATCGGGAGAAAATGGAGGCCAAGCTCTTCCTGTGTCAGTAAATTGTGGACAATCTAACACAATTACTCTATTCCCAAAGTATTCATGAAGAAAGTGAAAACCTTTATCTGTTCGATGTGGTCGAGCCCCATTTTGCTTGAACCAGTTGATACCTGGTCGATCCTCAAACGCTAGCCGAGTGCTGACAAATTGTTCAAAAATTGTAACGTAACATTTAGTAGTTATTGTTTCTACTACGAAAGAGGGTCCGATAATGCTTCTGGTGCATACCGCAACCCACACAGTAACTTTAGGCGAATGCAGTGCTTTCTCTTCCCACAAACGAGGATTTTCGGAACCCCAAAATCTCCAGTTTTGTTTATTAGCGATTCCATTTAAATGAAAATGTGCCTCATCTGTGAACGGATGCAGCTCACATCAAATCTGCCATTGTCAACCCTTTGTTGCACAACTTTCATGGTTATGGCCTAATGACTTTGGATTTTGTATGGAAACAGCCGTAGGCTATTTTTAAATATTTTTTGCATACTTCAAACCTGTCTTTGATGCAATGCGTCGGATGCTTTTCCTAGGATTTTGCTGAACAATTCTAGAAACTTTGGCTGCATTTTCAGGAGTGACTACAGTTTGCCTAGGCCCTACATTTCCCTTTTGATCATCAGCCATGTTGCCAGTCCGTTCGAATTTCGAGAAGAGCATGCGAATGGTTTTTGCATCGGGTCCAACTGGAACATTGAATCAGTTTTTAACCCCTTAACTGCCGCGGGCGTATATATACGCCTTGCTCAGCCGATGCGTTAACTGCCCCCCAGATGCGCAGCCGATGCGTTAACTTTGCGAATAATTTTAGGTGTAGCAGCGCAAAGCAAATGATAGCAGTTTGGAAGGACGTATATATATGCCTGGGGCAGTTAACGCATCGGCTGAGCAAGGCGTATATATACGCCCGCGGCAGTTAAGGGGTTAAAACTGTGATGTGTTGCCGTAGGACTGAATTCTAATCGGTTGAAATTCCGGGACCAAAAAAACACGTTGTTCAATGGAATGCATTATTTCACTTTCTACGCTAGTTTCTTTTCACTAGTCAACAGTCATACTGATCACTTTCAATTTCAAAGCACATTTTAAAGGCTACTGATAGGTCATTGCTATTAGAGTGCTATCTGTTAACGATTTTCATAACTAAATTTTCTAAACTTTTGTACACCATTTTTTCAGTTTTGCTAATAAACATACAGTTTACGCATAATTCTATCGATCTTTGTTGTAGAGATATTTAATTTTGAAATCAGGGCTTATTCACTGATCACCCTGTATTTGTCAAAAAACTAATCACAATGATAGAAAAGGAATTAATGAATAGTCAAACACTATTTAGCAATTCAACAAACTTTCTTAATACTTTTTCTAACTGCTGATTTGAGTTAGTCAGAGCAATCAAATCCCTCTCGAGGTCTGAAGCTCTCTGTCTTGATGCTCGCAGCCTTCCTTGCAATTCTTCAACTTCTCCTACATTATACAATAAACATTTACTAAACAATAACATTTACTAAAAAATAAAACTTAAAAATTAAATACAGGAGTTACATCATACAAAATTTTAAAAAAATGACTTATAGAATTACTTCTCTTTTGCAGACATATAATGACAGAATTATAGAAACAATGATTTGGAAAAACAAAATTTCAAAACTATTTGAAAAACCTATACAGGTATGATTAAAATCATCACTGTAAGGTACAATGAGATAAACATATTTTAACTTAAGAAAGAGATAAAATAGATAGAATTTGTATCAACCAACAGTGAGAAATTATCCAACAGGAAGTTATTAATTAAAAACAATTTAAAGTAAAAATTAAAAAATCACAACTAAAATTTAAAATCAAAATCGAAATTTAATTTCTGAAACACAGATTGCTTTTCTGCATTTAGGTTTTGCTTCTTACTTTAGTTTTCCCCACTGTACCTTTTTATTACCTTTTCTAAAAAAATTCTTCATTGATTTTTAATACAACTTTTCTAATTGCTTTAAAATTGTCTTTTCTTTAGAAACTTGTACAATTCTACCTTTTCATTATTCCAAGTAACTATTTTTTTTTTTTTTTTTAACATTTTCTTTCTTTTTCAAATATTCTGATTTACTGTCTTTCTCAATTATTTTCTTAGTACAGTCAAAGATCGAAAATCTGCCAAACTAAAATCTACATAACTTCTCAAAATGTAAACATTCAGGTTCAGGAAACCACAACATGGCAAAGAAAAGAAAAATACCAAACAATGACATAATAATGGAAATACTTACCAAATCATTGAAATCATGGTCAAAGTCTCCCCCCCCCCAATTTCTATCAAGGTAAAGAAGCAGACGACTTCTCTTTCACGTTCACGACTCATGTGGTGGTATTTCCTGAGCTTTATTATTTTAAGAGATTGTTTAGTGCTGCTGTATGCTGTTTTATACAGATTTTTTTGTAGACAAAATATTTTTATTTCAGTGCTTCTTAATACAATGGTAGGTAATAAACATGTTCATTACTTTAATACTTGCAATGTTGAAAATCATAAACAACGTACGGAATTGCAACATAAACTGTATTTGATTTACAGAAAAATAAAGAAAAGCTGTTGAACTTTTACAGCAAGTGATTCTAACACTGAAATCCAAAACTGAAAATCTTTGCATGAGGTGAAATTCACAAACCTTGATGCTAACTTGTACAAATGGTTCTAGGAATGACGGAGTGGTGAAGTATCAATTTCAAGACCACTCTTGATAGAATAGGAAAAACACATTCCAGCTGATTTAAAAACAAAAGAAAAGTGATTTCAGCAGTAGCTAATAGAACAAATTTAAACAGAGACACATTATACACCATCTGAAAGCCTCAGCAAAAAACTTTCAACAGATAAAGATGCTGCCGAAGAATTTATGAATTTTCTGTTCTGGGAGGAGAAAATCTTAGCCCAGAAAAAATTTTCAATATGGATGAGATGACTGTTTTGACAATGTTTGCCAAGAAAAACAGAAAGGCATAAAATTCTTACATGTGATTTATGGGAATAATACAAATCCCTTGTTCACAAAACAACTTATGATCATTCATGAAAAATTTTGTCTAAAAGAGGCTACATAATTTATATATTTCATTAAAAAAAACTTACTCTACCAGAAAAATGTAAGATGTATTAAAAAAAAGGAAAGAAATATTTTATGCTTTATTAATGTCACTTATTTTCACATGTCTTTACTGTACAGAGGCTGTTTGCAAATTTTTCAGATGATTTTGCTTACTTAAAAAAAAAAAAAAAAAAAATCATCTCCTTGGAAATTTGCTTTTTAACTGCAACTATATATTTGAAAGTATTAATCATAATCTACTACTTGACAGTTTTGTTTACATGCAAAATGACAGTTTTAAAGAAACAATGCATAGAAGGCTATGTATGTGCTCTTTCTGAAGAAAATTATTCTCATCTAGTTATTACAAAACACCATGAAAGTCACAATTTTTCAATATCTAAAGCTACGACAGGTAATACTGTCAACAAGAAAGGAAAAAAATTCCAAAGTTTGGCTGCAATGTGAAACAATTGTTCCAAATAAATATCCAATGACAAAAATGGAATATTTCGAATTTTGTAAAGATAAGATCTTTAATGTTAAAAGAAATTCTGCCAAGTCAAAGAACATTAGCAACATCATTAAAATGCTCACAGTCAACTGTAAACAAAGTGATTAATGCTGCTTTGAATCTTAAAAAGATGAAAAAACATGTGCATCGCCTTTCTCTTTAACATACTGCTAAACACAGAACGCACTGCAGAATTATCTATCAGAAACATTTAACCAGATAAAATTGGAAAAATGTTGTCATAATAGATGAATCTTGGGTGTATTTAAATGACTGCAATAAAAAAAGAGATCCATAATTGCTATCGGTTGATCTTTACATTATGGTAACTTGGCATTTTTTTGGCGAAAATTTGCCGACCAACTCTCCTACAGCAACCCTCTATTTTTTTTTCCCGCCGCCATTTTGTCTTCACGAAGTAAAGACATGTTTCTTTTCTTTTTATCTACTGAACACTTCTTCCAACAATCTCTACTAGCCGAATTACACTTATGCTAGAAATTTTATCTAACAACAAAACTGCTTAATCATGACAAATATTCACTGCCAAAATTGGGAAAAAGTGCACAATACCATACTCCTTACGCATTTTTCAAAATAACACATACACATAAACCATGTACACGCCAACTTATTTTTACTTAAAAAAACATCCCAGAATTGCACAAAAATGGCATTGCACACAATCTTCACTATATCCATGTACACTGCTTTTTTCTCATAAATTACAAAAATTTCACGAAAATACATGACAATTTTCTGAATCTTTAAACCCGGTAAAAAGAACATATATGAAATTACCTGATCGCGAAAAAGTTTATACCCTTTCCAAATATGAACATTTCCACATATAAAATAAAATAAATATCCAAAAACTTTTACCTCTAAATCATCTATTATATTATAACACGTCACCAACGAATTCATACCGCAAGCATTACAAATACTTAGTGTCAAATATTTAAATTATTTCCATGCACGTTTACTTCAACTTAAACGTATACCAAATTCCTACAAACATAAAATTCACAAAATAACTATTATTTAATTAAAATATCACTAAACCATGTACACGTCGACTTATTTTTACTTAAAAAAACATCCCAGAATTGCACAAAAATGGCATTGCGCACACTCTTCACTACATCCATGTACACTGCTTTTTTCTCATAAATTAGAAAAATTTCACGAAAATTCATAACAATTTTCTGAATCTTTAAACCCGGTAAAAAGAACATATATGAAATTACCTGATCGCGAAAAAGTACATACTTTCCAAATATGAACATTTCCCCGTATAAAATAAATAAAATATCCAAAAACTTTTACCTCTACATTATCTATTATATTACAAACGTCACTAACTAATTCATACCTTTACTTCATTTCAAATGGTTACAAATACTTAGTGTCAAATATTTAAATTATTTCCATGCACGTTTACGCAAATTACTTTACTTCCACCTTACATTTAGAACAATGCATAAAAATAATATCCTCAAATAATTAAAAATACTAACTTACCTATTCTTCTTCAGAATCTTGATTACGTGTCCGATAAACTTTTCTTATTTCTGTTTCAGGATCTTTAAAATCATACTTATAGTTCACACCAAGGTACCAGGTAAAATAAATAACTTAATAAAACATCTTTACTTCTATCTCGCACAACCTTAAAGAAACACTTATTACCCCTTTCAATCCCACTAAATACGCATTTCGAATTCACTTTAGATAGGACCATGGGATCCAAAAGTTAACGAACACTGTTTCACACAACACAGAATAAAGGCAAATACAAAATTTCCAGATTTTTTCCCGATTTCCCCCCTTTTCCGATTAAAGAACCGTAATTCGTCCATTAATATCACATGATCTCTCATTTCCCTCACCAAAATAATGCGTAATCAGAACTGAGTACTGCTCACATTATTACCAAAGTCCCAGGTAGTAACCTTTATCGCCTCCAAAATGTCGCCAAACTACCAGTTACCATATTGTAAAGATCAGCCTTGCCATCAAATAGGGACACAAAATCTTAAAACATAGTTTAAAGAATCTTAAGTTTTTCAAAGGGATTTAAGATTGTTGATGGTTTTTTATATACCGGCAAATTAAAAATAAAGAGAATGGAGAAAAATGTTAAGATCAATTCCTTATATTATCAGGAACACATCTGATACCCAATTTTTACATATGAAATACCTTCTCTTTAGCCACAATGCCATCAATCAGTAGAACTGCATCAAGACAAAGCAAGCAGCCACACATCAAAATCCACCAATAATTTCCTGGAAAAAAAGGAACAAGAAATGGGTATCAAGCCCTTCCCTTAACTTACATCCTTCATAATATTCTGATGTATCACCCATAGATTTTTGCACTTTTAAAAAGCGAATTGTCTAAATGTCAACCTACAACCCTTCTTGGACTTCAGAAAAGCTGTTCTAGATAAATGATATAAAATATCTCTTCCAACACTACAAAAGGCTCTATTGTGTTTGAAATTATGATGTAGAATAAGGGTTATAAAACAAAACATTTAAAACACAATTTTAGATAAACTATTTCTGTAAATACAAGTAAAGTTGTGGTATATCGAGAACTATTGATGTGGTATATCATAATCGGACTTGTAAGTTGGCACAGCACCAAGCATCGAAGCACATGCAGTAATAAAGAACCAGAACTAAGACTAGAATGCAAACGAGTAATGATATATTTTGTACATAATAAAAGTAGCATGTAGTTTAAAAGAGTGTGTCATGTGAAATAATTACCCACTAAAGATTACAGTGCAAAAGTTATCTAAAGAAATGTGCAAAAACCTTCTGTAAATGTCCTTATTTATTTTGCAATTTTAGTCTATAAACTATGATTTATCTTTTTGGTCCTGATATCTGCAAAATCCTAAAATCTGCATAACCTCTCGTCCCAAGCATTGCAGATTTCTTGCATTCTACTGCATTTAAATTATAATTTTTCCTTATACAGTACAAAGTCCATAATCCAGACGTCCATTATCCAGAATGATCTATAATCCAGAACTCAAAGCCACAAACATTTTTTTTTTTGTATGCTTTACGCATGCGTGTAATGTGTTTACACATGCACATTTAATGTATTATGGACGGTATAAGCTAGGCTAAAATTATCTTTACTGATTCTAAGGCATTTCAGTTAATGTTGCAGATTGCGCTGTTCCTTAATCTTCTAATTGGATCTGGCTTATTATTTTTTGAAGACTGTTAGAGACAATTTTATAAAAATTAAGCTTGAACTTTCGATTATGTCAAAAAGAGTTTCCGATTCTGGAGCTGCCAAAGAATCTACAAAGCGAAAGCATGTTTCGATGTACCGCTTCCGATAGTGAAGAAAGTGACAGAGAGGTTATTGAAAACGAAAAAATTTCGATTGACAAGTTAGTCGGCATTCTCGACATAGAAATTACAGGACTTGAACAGTGGAACTGAACAAGAAATTATTTCTGTTTATAGAATTAAAGAGAAAATATTAGCACAAAAAGCGAAGCAACTTAAAAAACTTACATTGAAAGAAATGTTTATTAAAAGTAAACAAACAAATATTAACATTATTAAGTATTATTAAGTAAACAAATAAATATTAAACTTTTTTTTTTTGTAAATTTTGATACCCTTTAGATCATAATTGCTCTTTGTTTCATAAATTACGGTTTCATATTTTTAATTTTGAAATTTCTGCATACCATCTTACCAGATTTAAACTGATGATCTATAATCCAGAAAAAACCCTAATCCGGAATCACCGAAGTCCCGACGAGTCCGGATTACGGACTTTGTACTGCATTAAACTGCGAAGACGCGCGCTGCTTTTAGCTATGTGAGGACGTGCGTCGGGCACCGTAGGCCCGAAGCATTTTTCTTAACAAAACAAAATAAAAATTGCTTATGTAATTGAAGAAAAACATTTAAATAATAAAAAAGAGTGTATAAAATATACTTTTAATTTAATAAGTCTAATAAAATTGTATTTTAAAACAATTTTAAGACTGAAATTATTTATCATTAACAACAAAAATTAAACTGATTTCTTTTTGAGCGTAAATGAAACTTGGTACTTATTTATGCAATATTAAATTTTTACAGCAATAATTTCAAAATAAAACTTACATTTCACATTCTTTTGCAAATAATCATGCTGTGTTTACCACAAACATTTGTCTCGCACATAGCGCAGCAAATTTGCGATTTTCGGTCTGTTATGACTTTAAACTTTTTTACAATTTTCAACGAACTTTTCAAAGGCATATCTTATTGGAGCCAGTTTATTTATTTCCCTTTTAGAAAAGCGATCTCTTATGTCATCAAATCTCAAACATCTCATTAGAAATAAAAATGTTTGTTAGACATTGTTCAATGAAAAATGTCAAGCACTGTATTCATGATATTTATAATGACGAGGAATTTGATTTAAATCATATCAAAGACTAAGTACATTGAGATGAAATACTACATTTAGTAAAGAATTATGAGCTGAATAGCTGAAAAATCTGCCCTGAAGATAAGGATAGTGCTGTCAGATCAACTTCCAGTTCATTGCGCGCCGCAACGTTTCCCTTCACCCCCACAGAGCAGCGTGACATTGATAAACAGATTTCGGAATGGTTAGAAAAAAGGATATGCCTTTACCCATTTTTTGCAGCAATTCCACTTTTTGTTTGATGGACATTGAAACATGCTTTCGCTTTCTAGAATCTTTAGCAGCTCCAGAATCAGAAATTCTTTTTGACATAATCGAAAGTTCAAGCTTACTTTTATAAAATTGCTCTAACAGTCTGCAAAAAATAATAAACCAGATTCCAATTCGAAGATTAAGGAAACACGCAATCAGCAACATTAACTGAAATATATAATTAGATAATTTTAGCTTAGCTTAAACTGTACGTTATACATTAAATGCGTATGCGTAAAAGTATTATGCGCATGCGTAAACGCATAACGCATTTATGCATGCATAGAAAGTTTGTAGCTTTGAGGTCCAGATTATAGATCATTCTGGATAATGGACGTCCAGATTAACGACTTTTGACTGTTTCTTTCGAGTTGTATCAGGCCAGGTGAGAACTTGATAAATGTCTTTTTCTGAACTTTGTATATATTCCCACTTGATTACTTTCTTTGAAAAGAAAATTTTATCTGATTTTTTTTTTTTTAATCTTGCAATTCATCAAACTATAATTCACACGTAGCTCTTCTGATAAATTTTTCTGCTACTCCTTGTCTTTGACAAGGATCATGAACCTTTAATTATTATTTTTTTTTTAACCCAGAAGGGCTATTACTCTCAAAACGGCATTTTGAGTTGAATCACTGTAAATAGCTGTATCACTTTTCAAATTGTGGCCACCAAATGTTAGCACCCTGTATTATATTGAAAGAAACTAAATAATTAAGAATCTACACAAATGTATATATGTTTGTCGCATTGTGAAAAAAACTACAGTACTTAAAAGTAATCAAATTTTGAATAACATAGTCCTTCACCGAAACATGGGCACTAGGAAGACGAAATTTAGAAATTTTTTATTGCCTATTTCATATTCTGTAAAATTCTAACGAACTTTTGATTAAAAAAATCGACTGTTTTGAAGTAAGCAATGGCAACACTGTATGGAATTTTATCTCCATCGTGCAAGACTGTTTATCAGAAATTCTGAAGCTATGCTGCTTTAAAATATTTTAAGACCAATGTGCCCAAATGCTCTCGAAACATGTACGTGTCTGTAAATGAAAAAAAAAATGTCGTTTGGGCGTAATATAAAATTTGAAAAGTTTTCTAATTTTAATTTTTATTTATTTATTTATTTTTATAATTATTTTCTTACTTACTTCTTTTCAGTTTGGATTTCAAAGTTTTCATTTCAAATTGTTTTTAATTTGTGCTTTCCTGCTTACCACTCCTGCCTGATACACATTCTCTCTACGAATTCATTTTGTGGAATTTTGAACAAAATTAATAGCATTAATTTAATTAAATATTCTTCAGTTTTTATCTCTATAATTTAATTGATACACATTATCATAAGATTTAAATTAACCATAGTTTAAAAACAAAATTTGAACAGTACTTCTGTTTTTATTAAAATAACATTTCATGTTAAAATTCAGCCTTTAATTTCCCTGATTTTCCATGAACAAAAATAATTAGTTATCAAATTTTGTATGAGTAGCTGAACAACTCTGCACATTTATTACATATTTTTTGAAAGATGCATATTTGTTTACCAAGAACATAGTGTACATAACGGAAAATTCAAACAGAAATTACCCCCAAGCAAATTATAACAATGGAGGAATGCTTTCATGCTTAACATAATCAAATTTAAATTTTAGATAGGATATAAGAAGTATTAAAAGAGTTCTTAAATATAGAATAAATAAAAAATTTAAAAGAAGAAATTGATAAAAGTTTTCACAGCTTTCCACTTTTATTCAGGCATGATAAAAGTGAAAAGTTGACAGCTACACTGCTGACATACATGAAAAACAAAAACTGAAAACAATGCAAGCCAGAAAATGCACTTTTTTCTTTTTTTCTTTTTCTTTTTTTTTTTTTTTTTTTTTCAAATTCTGAAGGTTAAGAGATCAATATCTAAAGCTTTGATGGTGCAGGAAGATATAAATATCACAATTTTTTTTTGAAAGAATTATATACTTAAACAGATCTCACCACCACCATGCATATATACCAAACAGATCACCACCATCCTAAGTGAAACCACTATGCAGTAAAAAATCAGTTGTAAGCTAAACTAATAAATACAAACAATTAAAGATTTAAAAAAAATCTATTTAAACTTCAGACTGAAAACAAAAGTCTTTATATATGAGTGTTAGAATTAACATGTTGACTATAAAAGCAGAAGAGTTAAATGAGCATTATTTCTGGGAGAAACCCAGGCATTTATTAATAGGTTTTGAATTTGAAACCAAAAATGATTGATTCAGAGTTCTAACTCACCGGCTTTCTGCTTAGCTGTCTGCTGACTAAGTGAAAGAGAAGACTGCAACTCTGTTTTTTCAGCAACAAGAATGCCTATTGTCTGGATGTGAACTTGTAGCTGGTCTTTGAGGCTTACTTGCTCTTTATGTGATTTTTCTAGAAGTTCCTTCTTTTCTAATTCAAAATTCTGGAGCAAACGCTTATTCTTTGCTCTCTACATAACAGTATTATTCATTTTACTTTATTGTGGCAAGAAAAAATATCATGAAGAAGAAGAAATTACAAATAAAAATCTGAGAAAAGATGGTAAAATTTCAATTCAACTTGCATACCTTAATAAAAAGTGAACAAAACATTCTAATTAAATACAGTATAAAGTCTAAAACCCAGAAGTCCAGTACCTGGAATGACCTAACATGCAGACCTCCAAATCAGCAATCCAATATATTTATTTAAATTTCTAATGGCAGACACTAGCCATCATATGTGTTGGCCACTACTAAGACTGGAAGTGGTGGTCACTTTTATATGGAGTCACCTAACAGGTGGGCCATCATTGCCTCTTATGAGGGGAAAGACGATTTACATCCATTCCTTTTCCATAATTCGATCCCCAGCTCTTTGGTACAGCAGTCAGAATCACTAACCACTTTCCCACCTGGACGGTGGTTATGTGTATGTATAATGTTAAGTTTAAAATAGTCTAAAATGATTCAGATTTCCAGGGGCAATAGTTTATGCAGTGTGATGATACACTCAGACTGGAGATTTCCCTAATGTGTGTCATCCCATCAGTAATCTAGTGAATTCAATTTAAAGCAGTATATGTGTGTAAATTATTGTTAAATAGAATTACAATAACAAAAAAATTTCCCTTCCTAGGCATATAAGAAATAGGCACGATTGGAGTACCAAGTGAATTGTGCCCACCAAAATGTGAGTTTAAATTAATATGGAATTTAATTCAGGCATGATTAAACGTGAATTGTTTTCATTTTCCATCAAGAGAACAATTATTATCAGATAGATAGATATATATATAACTAGATGCAAATTTCTGCCAGGCTTTGAGATTAATATTTTTTATTGTCAGCGAAACATATTTTTTTTAAATGGCAAATGAAAGTAGTATCTAAACGTAGAATATACACAAATGCTAATTCATTAATGTTGAGTAATGTAATGGCTCTTACTGCATCATTTTATATAAAATGAACATGCTCTCAATGCTCTGGAATACTTTTAATTTAATTTATGAATTTTTCTTATTTTTATTTTTATTTTATTTTTTTATCCTGTTGTAGTGGAGTAGATGTTCTATGATTAGAGACTTTTTTATTACTCTCTGAGTTTTCTGGCGTTGAGACTATTTTGTATCGCTTAGTGAAAGTTTTTTTTTTTTTTTTTTTTTTTTTTTTTTAATGGCAAAACGAAAGCACTATCTGACTGTAGAACATATACAAATGCTAAATGAGTCAAATTTGCTGAGTAAAATAGCAGCAGATATTATATTCCTGTGACATATGCAAAATTGGACTTTGATTACACCCATGTTTCAAAGAATATCATACACTGTCTCATTTTGAAATATTGCTTACTTTTCGTTGTTTGCTCGTTGAATTTTTATGAAAGACAGTTTTAATATTTTTTAATTTTAATTGTGTGTTGTGTTAAATAAAATCTGTGATTGTTAGGATATTTTTCCATATATATTTATTTGTGGGATAAGGGGAATATTATATTATTCTAGAATGAGTATTTTATAAAATTTTTATGGAAAATATAATAATAAAGCTTTAAAATTAATTCTGACAACTACCTGAACATTCTTCTCATAATGTACCAAAAGTTGAAACAATTAGATGAAAAATTTAATTTATACGAATTTTTTTCCAAAGTTAGGCATAGCAGTGCGAATTGCCCGTCCCCACAGGACATTGCATCCGGTTAACGCACCGTCCCAAGACAACACTTCAGTAAGAGATGCCCGTTGTGAACGGGTTAAAGCAAATTTAAAGATATTATCATAAAAAAAAAATATTTTCCTTATGCTTTAGATGTTGAAAGAAGAATAAAATTTAAAACAGAAAGTTGTATGGCTCTTTAGAAAAATTTTTATGCTCCAAATATAAATATTACATGATTTTTTCTGAAATATGATTAAAAAAATGTAGAACTATTGCTCAACTTTTATAAATGGTTAACAAGTTCAGTTAATAAATTTACAATCCTTAGAGTACTAAGCACTGGGGGGGGGGACAGGATTTAAAAGTAACTAGCAACTCCTGGACAAGCATTCTATGATATGATTCTGATAGAAGAGCAATATTGCCTACATCCTCAACTTAAAAGGACATTGCAACTTAAAAGGACGAAAAACCAAGAATTTCTTTTGCAAGAACTGGGGTTGCCTGAGAGGTTTTCATGCTGCATTGCAACGTACTTTTAAAAGAAACCTGACTTACTTAAATTCACTAAATAATGCACAACTCATGTTATTGACCTACTTATATTATTCTGATATAAAATGTGTTAATATTTAATTTGATAGTGATTAATAAATTTTATGTTCTCAGGCTAATTTCATTTCATAAATTTCTTATGTTTTTACTCTGAGAAAATCCTGAATAAGACAGAAAAACTTTAAACAGAAGTTTTTTTTAAATGTGATAAAAATAAAATTAATAATTAGTGTACATACAGTTTTGTGGATAAACTTATTAACGTATCATTTACTGATGTTAAAGAATATTAACTGATTAAACATTGCTTGAATCTTCATATAAAAATCTATAAATGTTTATAGTAGATTAAGACAATTCAGATCATTACAAATTTAATTTAAAAAAATTATGCTGAAAATCACTAAAAGTTGAGAAAAGGAAGTTTTCATTATTTTTCTGAACTTATTGCTAAGAAAAATTTCCCTTAATAAAAGCTTTAAATTAAGATGTAGAAAGATTCAGTAATCTAACAAGCAGAGATGGTTGCTATGATGCATTATAATTTAAAATGCAAATTTTTGTTTTCATTAGATAAACAAGAAATTAGTAATTTGTAAAAATATATTACAAATTAGATAATGGAATATATTCACACACATTTTATGACATATTGCATAAAGTAATATTCGCGGTATCAGCATCTAGAACAAATTAAATATTCATAGCTTTGCTCACATCTGTGTGCTTTTTAATGCTACAATATAAAGAAACTAAAATTACCAGATCTTGCAACTGGAACTCCAACTGATCATTAGACTGTTGTAAATTGTTGACAAGTTGAGCAAGTTCTTGATTTCTTTTTTCTAATGATTTACTTTCAAATTCAGCTTGCTCATCTTGTTCTATGCTACCATTCATAAAAGCATCAGTTTCAGACATTAAACCATTTAAATGCAAGGATATCTGACGCAGACTCTCTGTAGATGAAAGCTCTCTAAAATAAAAATTACATAAATACATGAGTGTACACTTAATATTGAAATCATTTATGCTACAAACTAGTTACCAATGGCTTAATGTGCAATAACATTCTAAACTTCACTTTAATCTGAATAAAGCAAGAGAATGTTTGAAAGGCAAAGTCTAAAGGAAGAGAAGGCAGTCTTTCAAAATAAACTTAAAACACAGATGCAACGATAAATAAATAAAATATGAATTTAAAAATATGAAATAAATATCTGAATATATTTAAACATACAAATTTTAAAATTATAAATGATTGAAGATAGAATTAAAATCGACAACAATGCAACCAGTTGCGTAAATTTTAACACATCCCAATTCATGACTCGAGTAACACTAAACACTGGAATCATGAACGTACAAAATATATAAATAATACAGTAGACACTGCTTAATGTGACTGTGGTTAACATTATAATTTGAATATTATCTAATTTCCAAAGCCCCACCCTCTGGTACACTGCACAAAAAAATGGGGATCACAGTTCTATATCTCCCGTTTCACTGGGCCGATTGACAAAATTCAAACTGCGTTTTTCATCTTTCGAAAGTGCAACTTAGGATATATATTAGATTTATATATAACATTATTCTAACATAGGTATTTTGACCCAAAATTTCAAATATGTACCAGTCTAACTTGCTTTTTATACATAGCTGTGGAAAATAATTAAATTCCTTCAAAAAACGATTAAAGCTTAAATATATCAATACATTCTTAAAATTTAAAAGTAAACTTTAGATATTGTCCAATAAACTTAATAAACATACAATGTATTATATATATATATATATATATATATATAAACATGCAAATGTATGTTCTTGTAACTAAAGGAAATCTTAAGTAAAAAAATGTAAGGGTACCAGACAGAGCCGGGACAAGGGTGAGGCAAGTGACGCACTTGCCTCAGGTGAATCACTAGAAGGGGTGCCAAACTGGCCATATGAATTCGAAAATTACTTTAATTGCGTTTTTAAATTTGTCAGTTATTATTACAGGAAAAAAAGGCTTCGGCAAACTTAAATTAATAAAATAATAGGAAGAACTGCAAGAAAATCTGGAAATTAATGCAACGTGCATTTCAATGTTATTTATTATTTATCAAAAACGAATTTCTTAACATTTTCATTTGAAAGTTATAAATAATAGACTATATTATTTTTCGGAATTTAAAAAGCTATGATTAAAAAAATACTTCAAGAATTATGGTATAATTATGCTATAAGAATTATAATATTTTGATTTAATACATTTACTTTTGTTTAATACAAATTTACCTATTTTGATAGATATATATATATACAGTACAAAGTCCGAAATCCGAACTCGTTGGAACTTCGGTGATTCCGGATTTGGGATTTTTCTGGGTATTATATCATTAATTTAAATCTGGTAAGATGGCATGCATAAATTATATAATTAAAAATATGAAATCATAATTTATGAAATAAAGAACAATTATGATCTAAAGGGTATCAAAATTTACAAAAAAAAAAAGCTTAATATTTGTTTATTAAACATTTCTTTCAATGTAAGTTGTTCAAGTTGCTTCCGCAAAAAATTCAAAAAGTTAGTTTTTCTTTTTTCTTACGTCATATACAGTTGACTTTCAAATGTCATACTCCTCGTAAAATTTTGAGACGGATATGCCTTTATCCATTTATTGCAGCAATTTCACTGTTTGTTTAATGGACATCGAAACATGGTTTCGCTTTGTAGATCCTTGGGAGCTCCGGAATTGGGAACTCTTTTCGACATAATTAAAAGTTCAAGCTTAGTTTTTAAAAAATTGCCGTAATAATAACAGTCTGCTAAAAATAATAAGCTGGATCAAACTAAAAGATTACGGAGCAGCGCAGTCCACTACATTAATTGAAATGCCTTACAATCAGTAAAGATAATTTTTTCCTAGCTTAATAGTGTCCGTTATACATGACTGGCTGTATATCACAAAGTTGGTGACGAAAGCTAAGCTGTTTTGCTAAATTTTGTCTTGCTCCTATTGCGTACTGAATTAAGCCTGAATTGTATTAGCTTAGTTATTTACTCGTATGTCGTTTATTTCTTGCACATGCTTAAAACTAATCTGAATCCTGAATAAATAAACTCCCACATATACTTAACGCTTTATCTATGGCCGGCGCTAAATACCACATAGTGCAGTCTCTACGAGTCCTAAATTCTGCTACAAAGCGTCTTCCTAAGTTCTAAATTTTCACCGCACCTTAACTTTGCATCCATCCTAAATCATAAAAAAACTTCTCATCCCTTAATTTTCCCATGCAATGTTGCCTTAAATTCCAAAAATTTCTTCCTCACTAAATTCTGCCATCTGGTGCCGACATATTCTGCCGCCACATTTGGATTTCTGTGAATAACATATCAGTTATTCTTAATTAAAATAGCACTAAATGTGATCTTTGGGCCTATGAATTTCATTAACAAAATCTATATTTAGCATATGAAATGAAATTTTTGTTGAATTTTTCCTCGTCAACATTTCTTAGAACATTTAAAAATCCATAATCATGCCAAGTGTAATGTTAGCATAAAAGGTTGCCATTCTCTTGTTATTCAATTACTAATATAAAAAAATGTTTAGACATCACTGCACGAGTTATTACTGAAGCTGTCATGTATTGATAAACATGCGGTGATGAAAGCAAAATACAATAAATAATGACTCGCCAGGTCAGCGTCAGGGAAACAAAATAAGTGAATGTTTCGGTAAACATGGCGAACAGCGGTAAACTGAACGGAACATTTGAGATGTATGCCAAGCAGATACTCAGCTACGGAGCCAAATTATTAATCTAAAAAATTTATGCTTACATGAGTGTTTTTCCATAACGAGGTACAGTCAAAAGTCGTTAATTTGGACACCCATAATCCAGAATGATCTATAATCCGGACCTCAAAGCTACAAACTTTCTGCGCATGCGTCTCTTTGACACATGCATGTAAGACCTTTACCGCTGCGAATTTGGGTGTGCGCAAAATACGTTTACGAATGCGCGTTTAATGTATAACGGACGGGATAAGCTAAGCTAAAATTATCTAATTATCTATTTCAGTTAATGTTGCAGATTGCGTTGTTCCTTAATCTTCGAATTGGATCCGGATTATTATTTTTTGCAGACTGTTAGAGCAATTTTATAAAAGTAAGCTTGAACTTTCGATTATGTCAAATAGAATTTCCGATATATATTTACTAATATGTAAAGGATATACAAAGCAAAAGTATCTTTCAGAGTCCATTAAACAAAACGAGGAATTGCTGCAAAAAATGGATAAAGGCATATCCTTTGTATATCTAAACTTTAACGTTTGTTTATCTAAACTTTGTTTATCTTTAACGCTGTGGCTGCGTGCAATAAATTGGAAGTTGATCTGTCAGCAATATCCTTATCTTAAGGGCAGATATTTTTATTTTATTTGGCTTATAATTGCTTACTCAATGTAGTATTTCATCTCGATGTACTCGTGTTTGATATGATTTAAATCAAATGCCTCGTCATTATAATTCGCTTCCGATAGCGAAGAAAGTAACAGAGGTTATTGAAAACGAAAAAATTTCGATTGACAAATTAGTCGGTATCCTCGACACAGCAATTATAGGACTTGAAGAGCGGAACTTGTAACTGAACAAGAAATTATGTCTGTTTATAGAATTAAAGAGAATGTATTATCACATAAAAAACGAAGCAACTTAAACAATTTATATTGAAAGAAATGTTTAATAAAGTAAACAAATAAATATTAAGCTTTTTTTTGTAAATTTTGACACCCTTTTAGATCATAATTGTGCTCTTTATTTCGTAAATTACGGTTTCATATTTTTAATTTTATAATTTCTGCATGCCATTTTACCAGATTTAAACTGATGATCTATAATCTGGAATCGCCGAAGTCCCGACGAGTCCGGATTAATGACTTTTGACTGTATTTTATTTAGTGAATAAGTGAAATTAAGAATTGGAATTTTTAAGTGAAAATCTCCCCGTTTTATTATGGAAGGAAAAATGAAATGCACATGCATAAAGCACACCAAAAAAAAAAAAAAAGTTTGTGGCCTTGAGGTCTGGATTTTAGATCATTCTGAATAATGGACGTCCGGATTTCAGACTTTGTACTGTATATTTATAGGGATGTGTATTTACCTTTTTGCCTCAGATGAAAAAATATATTGGCATGGCTCTGGTACCAGAAGCAAAACAATTTTAAAACGTTCTGTCAAAAAACTAACATTATTTCTAATGCTTTCCAATGATTATTATTGATACTCTAATATTATACAATTAGATTATACATATATACATTTACATAACAATTTTACCTGAAAAATAAATAAAATTAATAAAAACTTCACAATTTAGATCCAGTAATCTGATGAGTATGCCTAACTTAGCTGGTTGATCCCAAGCTGGCTTTCTGCCAGATATTCCAGCACATGTTTGGAATAGTACTTTGGTTTGGAACCGAAAGAAAAGAAGTCCATATACAGTAAATATTTTTGATATAATACAAAGAACTTAAAAATCATTGCACTGCTATAAAAATTAATAATTTAGCATGTATACAATTAAAATATAAAATAAATAACACATAAAAAACTTATTTATACAGTTTCTACACAATATCATGCTTAATACCACATAGATAGTACTTTAGATATGTGATAGCAGATAAATAGCATCAGACACATGGATGAGTATAACTTCACCAACTGCTTAGCTATTCTCTTCACTTGATTTCATCTCAGTGGTTTATTTTTTATATGATCAAGACAGAATATTTGGTTATGTTATTAAGCCACACTCATAGATAACAGAAGATTTGTAGAATAAGATCATAGAAGCAATTTATAAAATAAGCAATGAAGAGTATTAACTGGAAAACTGGGTTGCATAATGTATGAGTGTATGTGTGATTATGGCAAAGCCTCGAGGGCTATCTGCCTAAGGGGAAGGATGCCTGGATTCAAACCTCGGACCGGACTACCAGTGTTCAGCCACTTTACCGCTTGGCCACTAGTGGGCCATAATGTACGATGAAACTCCGAGCTTAGTAGCTTTCCTTAGTGAAAGATAAAGAATTAAAAATTCGGAGATTTGATAATCTACCAGTAGATTGGGAGATGTGTTGAAAAGCCAGAAGTCTCCTGGTAAAACCGGGACAGTTGTCAGCTATGGATTACTGTAACGAGGTATTTTATTAAGCTTAAGTAGCTTAAGTTTCCAATCAATTTTCATTACATGCTATTCAAATGTGAAATGCAGATGCTTATCAAGTCCTTTATATGTTTGATATTATAGTGGTCTATATTTTATTTTAAATTTTTTACATTATTGAGAATAAAAAATAAAAACTGTCAAATGTATTTAGTAGTATGTAGCAATACCGAAAAAAAAAATACTAACTTTAAATTATTTAAAGCTAGATCAGATTTTGATTTTGGAATTTCTCCAGAATTAAAACTTTCTGCATGCGTTGACTCTTGAATATCATTACTGGAGGCGTTGTCATTGAGCGCAGAGCTACTGGAACTTCTGAGAATAAAATAAAGCTATAAAATTAAATTTTGAAATTAAGATAACTTATATGATAAAGTTCAATTCAAAACTCAGCTTTATGCTCTTAACTCTACTTTCCAAACTAATCTACATAAGCAATATGACTAGCATTCAGTACATTTGAATTTATGTACATTTTTTTAAAACAATAAAAAATTACATTCCATAACAATTTCACAAGTGCCAGCAACAAAAAGATATAATTAAAGCATTTAGACATATGAAATTTTGGTACTTATATATTATCCTGTTGATTACAAAACTATAACCAAGCAGTGCAATTTAATGCCAATTATGGACAAGCACTGTGTAATAACTCACTAATAACATCTGTGATTTCATTTAATGTAACACTAATTGCTTCTTGATAAGCTACCTTTTGTTTCCAAGAACCAGATTATAAATTAACTTTTTACCACTGTAATTTTTCTCGCATTTTAAAGGGGAAAAAAACAAACATTAGTAAAATCTGGGACCTGCCTTCTACAGAATAGCAGACAGTGGATCATTTTCAAAGCTATGGAATCTTACCTTAAAAAAAAAGTGTGTATTAATGGGCATAATATGGGCAGCTAAATATGCAGACAAAACAGACACAGACTGAAACAATTACCTGCGGGAAATTTGTACTGATAGTGATCTAAATAGAACTTCTAGTAAAATCGTAGAACTTCGTGAACAAAATAGAAATCGGCAAAAGCCTTTTTACAAAGTGTGTCAAATATTAACTATGTATTAAATAAAGAGATATCAGTTCCTTCAAAATTCCATAAGAATGACTAGTGAAGTTTTGGCGAGATCTCCACCAAATTTCATGGTTTGATGGTAGAAAAATTTTATGGGCCACCACGTAAGTACCGAAATTTTAGCTACTTACTTATTTTTTGATTGCTCTAAATCACCATTAGACTTCCGAGTTGAAGGCACCTGGAAAAATGAGAAATATCTAATATATACAGGTCTACGATGACAAAATTCTGAAACTTTTATAAAAATTAGGTATGTATACTTCTTGCTGTATTACTGCAGATGGTTCAGAGACTGTGCCTTTGGATGCAGAATTCTCAAATGATGAGTCGTCTTTTAAAGGGCTCGCTTTTTTCCTCGTAATTTTCGTTTTGTCAGAGTCACAAATTTTATTCTGGCGAACTCGTTTCTGTTGTTGGAACTGTTTAAGCTGTCAAACACAAAAAGCAATCTTAAAACAAACTATGCAAAATACATTCTTTTAAATTATAAAAAAAAATTGGTACTTACGTATTAACGCAATCAGGCCAAAATTCGCATAAATTGCCAAATTTGGCAACCCTACGTAGTTTTTCGTAAAGAAATTATTTTTCTTACTGGTTAGATTGAATGCCCTGAAATACTTTAATTACTTTTTTGCAGAATTACTTTTTTGGTTACTGTATCTAACAGAAGCGCCGTTACCCTCATGGAAAAAATTTGTGAAAATATCAAAGAAGGAAGCATCATTTATTCGGATTGCTGGAAAGGATACAATACAAGGGAGTTCGAAAATGCTGGATTTCTGCATGGAACTGTTAATCACAAATATAACTTTGTGGATCCCAACACGGGCGTTCACACACAACATGTAGAGTGCATGTGGGGCTCAGCCAAATGGGCAACAAAAAACAGAGAGGAACAGCCCGTCATCATCTTGACTCGTACCTTATCGAATTTATATGGTGCCAAGCTCAAGCTGTTAATGGCGAAAACGGTTTTCAATCAGTGCTAAAAGCAATAGCCAAAAGATTTCCGCCGAAAAAATAATTCTGCAACCAGAAGGATTTAATTGCTATTTTATATTTTAAAACAAAATAATATAAAAAACTGTATTAAAAATTATCTGTAATTAATAAATGTACATTTTCTTTCTATTCATAATTTTTTACTCAAACTTACAAATCGCGCCAACCTGGTTGCGATAATACGTAAGTACCAAAAAATTTGTTAAAGAGGCAAAATAGCTTTCTTTAAAGATTTTATACAGGTAATACCCACACACAAACATTGTATATGTCATTAATTGTACCTCTGTATATGTCATTAATCCTTTCTAAATCCTGGGACATATATCAAATGAAATTTTCCAGTAAGAAAAGAGAAAATAATTAATTTGTTATTAAAAAAATTTAATTGCTGTTATTATAATACTGTTTAATACTAAAATAAAAATGTGCAGCAAGTGAAAAATAAAATGCTACCTGATACGTCACATAAATGTTTTTCTGCTATCCAGATAAAAACAATTTTTCAACATGTTTCTAATATCTCTGATCTATTTTTAGCAACCAATTTTACCCCCTTTTGCAATGTTAGCTGATTTAAAAGCAACGTTATTTTTTACTTGTAGACATTACAATATATGATAGCCATGTCCTAAATATGCATGCCATCTTCATACTTTTCAACAATCTCTTCTTTTCACCTCCTTTAAAAATTTCATAATTTTGCTGTTGAATTTTATGTGGACATAAGTGTGAAAATGATGTTTAAAAATAAAGACAAAAAAGTTGTGCAAGTCATCTTGTTAAAAAAACTGAACAGATACGAACTGAGCACAGACTGAAAATTTAGCGCTATTGCTCAAACTTCAGTTTCAAGTTTTCTGAAAACACTTCTCAGAATGTTCATGATTTACTCTGCTATACAGGTATTTCAGAAAGACTGCATAACCAAATATTTAGTACTCGTTTTCTGCACTGGTGAGAAACAAACAGTTAACAATCCGCGCACGTATGAGAAACAATCACTGATCTACACATGCATGAAAAACAAATTACTAATAAAACTGTATTAAATAAAATAGAATTTTCTGGCAAGCTTATTATTTTATTTCAAATAAACTGTTGACGAAACTATAAAATATAATAAATGCATATTATATTAAATTCCTTTTATATGTACAGTCAAAAGTCGTTAATTCATACACCCATAATCCGGAATGATCTATAATCAGGACCTCAAAGCTACAAACTTTCTGCTCATGCGTCAACGCAACGCATGCGTAAACTCCTATGCGCATGCGTTGCGTTGACGCAAGAACTTTATGGCTGCGCATAATACGTTTACGCATGCGCGATTAATGTATAACGGACGGTATAAGCTAAAATTACCTAATTATCTATTTCAGTTAATGCTGCAGATTGCATTGTTCCTTAATCTTCGAATTGGATCCGGCTTATTATTTTTTGCAGACTGTTAGAGCAATTTTATAAAAGTAAGCTTGAACTTTCGATTATGTCAAATAGAATTTCTGAAGCCGGAGCTCCCAAAGGATCTACAAAGCGAAAGTATATTTCGATGTCCATCAAACAAAAAGTGGAATTCCTGCAAAAAATGGATAAAGGCATATACTTTTTCTCTAACCATTCCGAAATCTGTTTATCAATTTCACGATGCTCTGTCGCGGGGGGGGGGGGGGGGGGCGCGGCGCAATGAATTAGAAGTTCATCTGTCAGCACTATCCTTATCTTCATGGCAGATGTTTTTATTTCATTTGGCTTATACTTCCTTACTAAATGTAGTATTTTATCTTGATGTACTCCGTCTTTGATATGATTCAAATCAAATTCCTCGTCATTATAATTCACTTCCGATAGTGAAGAAAGTGACACAGAGGTTACTGAAAACGAAAAAATTTCGATTGACAAATTAGTCGGCATTCTCAACACAGCAATTATAGGACTTGAACAGCGGAACTTTGTAACTAAAAAAGAAATTATGTTTAATAGAATTAAAGAGAAAGTATTATCACATGAAACAAAGCAACTTAAACAACTTACATTGAAAGAAATGTTTAATAAAGTAAACACATAAATATTAAGCTTTTTCTTTTTGTAAATTTTGATACCTTTTAGATCATAATTGTTCTTTATTTCATAAATTACGGTTTCATATTTTTAATTTTGTAATTTCTGCTTGCCATCTTACCAGATTTAAACTGATGATCTATAATCCGGAAAAATCGATAATTCGGAATCGCTGAAGTCCCGACGAGTCCGGATTAACGACTTTTGACTGTATATATATGGTAAATAACGGTACGATTCGGCTTTGAGGGCCGTAAAAAATCGCCAAACTATTGTTGATGCCAGTGCTGCAAAAACCCTAATGCAAGAAAGGAAGTATAATAGTAAATAACTATCCAAGATTGATGTTTTAATTTAGATGAAAAGTTAATTTCATATAATACTTTTTTATTATTATAAATTATATATATAAAATAGCTTGGTTAGTTATTTTTCTAAACTAACTAAACATGACTGAATGAAAGAAAAGGCTAAACATGTCTGAATGAAAGAATAAGAGTAAATAACTATTTCAGATCATTATTATAATTTATATAAAAATTCTTAAACATAACTGAATGGATGCCTGCATCGCTATTTCGCTACTGAGTTATCGTTAAAGCATAATTTCATTTCGTTGGTTGTTCAAACACAATTTTCTATAATGAATGATGCCTTTTCTTTGAAAAAATTCTCGGTAAAGTACAGAATCACCCACTTATCTGTTTGCTGCTTTTTTACAAGGATAAAAACAATTGGATTTTTGTCAATTTTCTTTTACTTTTAAGTGAAAATAAGTCGATGTGTACATAGATAAAGTCAAGGGCGTGCACAGTGCCATTCTTGTGCAATTCTGGGAATTTTTTTTTTAAGTGAAAATAGGTCGATGTGTACATGGATACCGAGTATGTGCTATTCTTAAAAACATGTCAAGCCGTGGGTGATTCTGCACTTTACCTAAAATTCTATTGCAGACTTTTCGTCATGGGCAGTTCCCAAATTGTTAAATCCATAGGTTATCGAAAAAGGATTTAAAAATTAAACTAGTATTTCAATGGCATCTTTAAAAAAAAAAAAAAAAAAAAAAAACCTGTGCCACTCGGAGATTTAAATAACAAATTGATTTCTTACACAATATTTAAAATAACTTAAATAAATGCCCCCTTAATTACTTTCCTCCTCTATTCTTTAAAGACATGCTTTGAAACTATCATTTACATTTCATGCTGCAGCATTAGCTAAATAAAATCTGGCTGACAAATATATATATATTAGATAACTTTCTTCAGAATCCAACTACACTTTAACCTGAATGCTTTAATTTATATTTTAGGTACAGCAGTTTAAGTAAATGAATTAATCATTTCTAAAGATATAATCTTTAATTAATAAAATAACAGGGTCGTAATATTTAAAATATTACTTCTGAAACATTAAAATATACTAATTTCCAACTGCACAATTTGGTCATATGACCTTAATATCAAGCAAAACCTTTCCATTTAGCAGCATTTATAAAGTTTCAGAATTTGATTAAAAAATTCAAAATACAAATTACATAATGCCTGAATACACTGATTTAAAGTAAAGCTACGACAATTATTTTTTTTTAAACGTAATGTATTTCGACAGAGAACTGATCTATTTTCACAACATGTGAAAAATTTAAAACTCCTGTAAAAAATTCTTCATTTAACATACTAAAAAGTGAATACACATTCAATAAAGAATGCAGAAAACTTCAGTTTATTGCAGAAATACACTGAATAAGGTGACATAAATTATTTAAAGATGTTAATGCTGTCTACTACAGGAAAACATTTTAACATACAAGAAAGAGCACTCACATTATTCCCCACAAAATTCAAACTGGGAATTACAGTTTAACAGATATTTTAGAAACAAGAAGTGGTATCAATCATTCTATTTTTCACTCCTGATTCTATTAAAAGTCAACATTTATCAATGAAAACTTACTGTATTATGTGGATATTTATTGCCAATTTAATGAAACAGGACAATACATCCAAAAGAAACGTATATGGCCATATAAAATACTAGAAAAATAACTAACCAAGCCATTTTCCTGAAACATTAGACCAATAGAAACACCTGTATTCAGCAACTTCTTATCATGTGTTAACACGTCAGATATCAAATAAAGTCCAATTTAAAGGTGACTGTACGGCAATAATACCTAAGCTTTGACAAGGATAAAAAGAAACATTTTTATTATTTTTTCTATCAATATTCTGTAATAATTTTGCTTAAATTACAAGATAATACCTTTTTTAATCCAGCTGCTAACTTCTCTTCCCTACTAACACCATCTGCCATGTTGACAAATTGATAGGCGCACACCCAATAATATCGAAGTGTAAAAAAATGACATTTTATTTTCACTTTTACCTTTAACTGCGCTAGTGTGAAAACGAAAACTAACGAAAACAAATTTTCGGTTTATTTCTATCCATTATTTGATTTTCTAAACAATTCACGTTAAAAAAATATTAAATTATAGTTTCTCAGCTACAGATAAATACTATCTGTTTTCACAAAATTATTGTTATTCTTTAGGAACCAGCCATTCATCAGCCTTTTTTTTTTTAAATATTCTAACAGTTTTCTAACCAGATTTTAAATTGTTATTAAACTGGGTCTCCTCACTCTTTCTTTTTTTTTTTTTTAACTTCGACGCTTTCAACTAAGGCTCCTATATACCTAGAGGAACGCCTTACTTTCAAATAACTCAAGCACACTTGGGAAGTTTTCAAAGCGTCACACTCAAGGAGATTAGTTAGGATTCTAACCTCCTTTGTCACACTCTGATCAGAGTTTTTTTTTTTTTTTTTTTTTTTTTTTCTTCGTTTTTAAATGTAGAATGATGCAAATGTTCAAGAGTGCTCAATTACTGAAACGAAACATTGCCCCTTTTTTAAACATTTTTGTTTATTTAGGTTACTATTTTCAACCCTTCACTCAAGACACCTTATATTTATAGCACAGTAGGGACTGATAGGTTACATGGACTTCTCCAATATTGGACATATTGTTTATTAGTTAGACGCTTCTCTTTTGTCTTCTTTATCTTATTTTATAATTATCACTATTTTTATACATTCTTGGCCTTATTTTGTTTCCTTATGTTGTTTCGTTATTTGAACCAACTTTTTTTTATCTGGTTTTAAAAATTTCGTATGAAATGTTAGGAAATTATTTTTTTCTCAAACAAAATTGTCCTCTTTGCTTTTACTTCAAACTTTTAAGCTTGATTTTTCGCCCTATGACGTAATATGAATGTAGAAAAACGTAGCAGATGCAAAACAAGATAACTGTCTGATTTGCCTGTCTGTCTTTACCAAATTTTTTGTAAACATTATTTACCGTATTTTTGCCGCTGACGGCTTTATGCAGTGAATGTCCTTTTATCTGTGATATCTCTGATACATATAAAAAATGTTTATATTGTTTAGTTTTTTGATTGCTACACCCCTTGGATCTGAAGCTTCATTTGAGCAAAGTATTGAAACATTACTGTATTAATTGCCTAAATTCACGTCTTAGTTATACCTGTGGCCAAACATAAACACGAATCAGTTTCGTTAAGAAAATTTTTCATATAAGCACATCTTGCTACGTATAAGTAATCGCATGTATGCCGATTATAAAATGCGTACTTAGGTTTTTATTTAACATTAATTTTACTAAGAAGGCTAAGGCCATTTGGTGAATATTTTTTACTTTAGAATAAAAAATTACTCACTCACATGTAAATCTTCGGAGGTTAACCGAAGACTGGAAAAACCCAGGGAATTGCTTGTTTAATGAAGATTGAAAAAATATGAAGGAAGTTGCATGTAATTTATGTATGATTATACTTTTCTGGAGTGTAGTAATAAAATACGTGAAGATTTTACGAATTTTGTTTATACGATTATTCTACACATTAAAGAAACAGAAATTTGGGGCTGGTATTTGTTAATTTTGTCATATCGTATAAAAGGGTAGGCATATTATATGGTTCTCTTATTTCATTTGAATAGAACAGTGTTAACTGTGGTAAACCAACTGTATAGAAAGAAATAAGGGATTCAAAGTTTTCAGCCTCGATTTCTTATGAAATCTGTATGAAGGAAAACTGGCATGTGATTATTGTTCTTTGAAGATTAAGAAGATTCTATTTCTATTAAAAAAAAAAAAAAAAAAGGCAGATTCTTCTTTGAATACTTTTGCTTATTATTATTGCTTATTGCTTTTAGAATATTTTTGGAATTATTTTAGATTATTTTGCTCCTTAAGAAAGGAGCCATTGCCATTCTCTTTCAAAATGGGCTCAGTTTTTTTGTTTGTTTGTTTGTTTGTTAATTTAAAGTTGAATGTAGTCTAGTTTTGAATTTCTCATTTATGAGCTGTTTTTTCTGATATTGGAGGGAAAATTCCAATTAATTCTAATTGCTAGCAGAGTTGACTCAAAACTGTGTGCACTTTTCATGGCCATGCACTAATTTTTTTTGTGCATGGCCATGACTAATTTGAACAGCTGTTTTTGTATTCTGCACACAATGGTCTTGTTCATTTTTTAATTTTCATTTTATAAAAGAATTGCATCTAAAAAGGGCAAAAATCCAAACTTCATACAAAAACAAGTAAAATTTAGAGAGTCAAAAATGTTTTTTGAATTTTGCAAAATTTTACATACATTTTGAACATTTTTGCTCCCGTATACTTTTGTACCATGCATGCAGCGAAAAAATTAGAGGGAACGTGGATTGCTAGTCATATAATACTGTGATTATTGAATAAATATAATTTTATTTATGATGCACAGGAAATTTTCTATCTGAGGACACCTAGGACTGCAAATTAGATATTCTTTTAACAAAACAAAAAAGGGTGAACAGTAGTTTTATTTTTTTCAGTAATTCTTTAAAACTGTCTAATTGGTACTGTAGTTTTTGTTCCAGTATCAACAATAGTATAATTGTTATTTATAGGTATAAGAGAGAAAATAACTGTATAGGATTTTAATTATTTATCAACCATAGTTGTTCTGCTTTTTCATTATCCAGTTTCAACATTCAGTAGAACTACTATGTTTTGAGCCATTTTTTATTGTACACTATCTGCAAACGGCACATGTGTTTTGAGTTCATATGGATTTACCAGCTTTACATTTAACTATCAGTTTGATTATCAGTATTCATTTAACTATCAGTATTCTTTTTCAAATGATTTTATTGGTTGCTTTCTGAAGTACCTTGCAGAAACAGAAGAAGTTTTAATAGGAATAACTAAATAGTGTTTTTAAAATATAAATATTGGCCACCCAGATTTTCTTTCATAAAATTTGTTTCAGAACAGTATCTATGAATGCAAAGTTCAATCAGTGAATAAAAATATAAAAATCACTTCTCAGACTCTTCAGTGAGATTGTGGTTTTTTGGTGCAATGTGGATAATCACAAAGTAATCATACTGCTTTTAATTCCATAAAGACAAAATAATTCATTAATTGTAATTTTATCTCAAACTAAAAAATCGAAATAAAATCATTATTTTTTATATTTTGTATAAATAATGGCTTAAAAAAATGCATGTTAAAAATACTATAAAAGGTATGTGTTATTGCTTAGCCCTCAAAACTGCTAAATTCTGCAAGTATCCTTATTATCTTATTGGGCAATAAACTCTGATTTTTATTTAAATCAGATTTTCTATTAAAATTACATTATTATAATAATTTTTCATGTAAATATGATGCCACAAGTTTCTATGACAAGGTAGCACATAAGTTATTTTTTTTTTTTTTTTTTTATCCCCTATTCATGTACAATTGGAAATTGGAAATATAAGCAGATTCAGTTTAAAAAAAATGATAGAATTCCATATTTACATATCTTTTCAGGCTTAGTCTTTTTCTGTACAATAGAATATACGTAGTATTGAAATACGTAGTGTAAAAATATGTTTTGGGTCATTAATTCAAGTGTCTGCTATATTTTGCTTTTTTTTTTTTTTTTTTTTTTTTTTTTTTAATGTCAATGCTTTGAACATGATCTTTGTCTATTTCTGTAATTTAATGCTTAGAACATATAACCAGAATGCATGTATAAATGCAAGAGTGAGTGAGTGGTTCATGACTTGAACTGAAGTAAAAACATATGTCAATGCAGTGTTACCAGCTTTTCAAAATTGCTGACACAGGAAGACAAGAAAAATGTATCTTTTTTTTAATTTTTTTAATTTTTATTTTTATTTACTAGCCCAAATTATTATTTTTGAAGAAATTGAATAGTGAAGAATCTACATGTATGTATTTATGTTCCTCACATTATAAAAAAATGATGGAACCTAGGGCCATTAAATTTTGAATATGGTAGTTTTGCATTCGAGCATTTGCACCTAGAAGCCCGAATTTTGGATTTTATATTTCATATTTTCTAAAACTCCTAATTAATTTTAATTAATAAACTTAAAGATTTGGAAGCAAAGAATGGCAACAATATATGGAATAAAACATTTTTATCTCCAGCATGCAAGACAGTACATCAGAAATTCTAAAAATATGCTGTTTTAAATATTTTTTGATTTTCTGTTGAATTATATATGGCATAAGTGTGAAGAAATGATGCTTATAATAAGCTAAAAGACAAAAAGAAAGATTTAGCAGAAGTAAGCAAAGCTGACTAGTAGATGGTGAGCGTAAAAACACTTAGCAAACCCTTTAGGCAAACTACTTTTTTTTTTTGTTAATTGTAGCAAAAGGAAAGTAACTACTTTTGTATATTATATTTATATTATTTATATTATAATTATTTTGATTGATTTAGTATATTAAAAATATTGATTAATTAATATTTTAAATTAATAAATGGCTTTGTCCGCTTTTAAGTATGAAAAAAATTTGTGAGTGAAAAACAATAATAGTCTCAGATAAACAAATGTTAAAGCAAATACTTTTGCAAATTTATTTTATTATATATTTTGCAATTTCGTGAAACCGACAAACTATAGTAATGGGCATGCATCTGAAAACCAGCCTCGTGCCAACAATGTATGAATGGCTTCTGATTTACACCAACTTGAAAACTTAAAATAATGTTAGTGGTCATGAAAATATTAATTCAAATACAAGAAATTTTTCATTCAAAGTTCTTTGTACAGTCAATGGATTTTTTAATTTTTACTTTAAAAAATTTCATTACTTTTCTTGCTCGATCTTTCATATGTTATGTTACTAAATAAAAAGAATAAATATGAATTTATAAAAATTTTATCAATCTAAATGCAAGCTTTTGTTTCCTTAAAATGTCATGCAAAAACCATATTACATGCATAGCCTAATATTTCAAAGATGTATTAAGGTAAATTATCGCTAAACTTTTACATTAAAAGAAAACATGGCTTCTCAATTTTACTAATAGGCGTTACTCAGTTTTACTTACTCTGTTTTACTTTGTGGTAATACATATATATTCATTGATATTTTAAGTTAATATATGTTATACCAATTAAGAATAATATTTTAAATTTTTTT